TGCTTCGAGATGTCTACCGTTAGGACTACTACATGATCCTGACAACTTCTGACTTTCTCTGTCGTGTCTTGCAGTGGGACCTGCTACTGTTCTTACTCCGGGAGCTGGTAGAAAAGGATCTCATGGGACATCTGGAGATAGAAGCCTGCTTAGGCAGCCTTAATGAGGCCCAGTGGCCAGGGGTAAGGAGTCTTAATGTTAATCCCTTTGTCTTACATGAAGGTATGTCTCATTTGTCCTAAAGATTGCCTATATAGCCCAGGATAACCACAAACTTGCATTCTTTCTACTTGCTGGGTAATGAGATTGTGGGCCCACCATAGCTGCAGCTACATGCATTTTTGCCAAGTGTTTTCAGGCCTACAATGAGACCAAGTATCGGGTTTGATCTGAGTGACTACTTTGCAAGACTCTCAGAAGAACAGAGGGGAGGAAGGACAATTGGAAAGCAGTATGGCACAGTGAATATTGGAGATTTGAAACTCAAAAGTAAATTTCAGCTTATATTTAAAATGTTCTTGTGATTCAGAGCAAAACGGTACTCATAAAATAAGATTAAGACTTTGTGCTTGAAAATTTTTAAAGTCTCTGCATTCCCAGCTGGAACGTAAAACCTTAGTTTACCAGTCGTGGAGGTTTATATCAATTTTTACATAGAAGACATTAGATGAAATAGCTGGGTTGTCAGTGTTTCCTGGCTGTGCTTATTTGGGACTGACCTTAGAAAGGACAGAAAATCCAGAATTAATTTTCTCTTAACCTTTCTACTTACTTCAGGACTTCTCAGAAGAATTGTCAACACTATTTCGCTTGTTCCTAGCTGAGCCCCATCTGCTAGAACCCCAGCTGAGAGCTTGTGAACTTATGCAACCAAACCGAGGGACAGTACTGGCCCAAAGCTAGGGCTGGGAAGCAGCCCTCTTGGGCATGTCACCAGAACCTGCCTCCTGTGCCTCAGGAGGAGGCTCAAGAACCCACTGCACGCCTTGGTGGGGCAAGAGTGTCCAGGTGTGTAATCGGGCTTGCTGCTCCTAAGTGAAGGAAGTGTGTTCCTTCAAGCATCCAGACACGGGCCTCAATACCTGAGATCTAGAGGAAGGAGAACCTGATTTAGAGTCACAGTGGAAAAGCCCAGAGACTCTAATCTTGGAGCAGAAGGGCTGGCGTTTCTAATCCAGATGCTAAAAGAAATGCGTGTGCTGATCAATGTATTTCAAGCCTCAAGTTGCTATCCCAGCACCTCTTAAAACTCTGTGGTTCTGAGAAATCTTAATAGGCAAAGAACTTCTGCTTGTGAGAAAGTTGACAAAACATGGATTTGGAAGTCGACATTTTCTTGCGTCCAGAAGCTGAACTGTTACCCCTACCCCCAAATATTGGCAGCCAATAAGGTAGGACTCACCTAAGTGAAACTTGGTCTTACGGACCTTCACCTCTTTGCAGGGAATTTAGTCAGACCAAGCCTGGTGTAGTAAATTTAAGGGGCTTGGGTTTTTTTTAAAAATAAAACTTTTAACAAGGTCTTGATGGCTATTCTCCCCTGCTTTTATCCCTTTTCTGAAAGTGGGCTTTGTGCACTACAGTCATGATATCTGCATTCTATCATGCCAAGAGCCAGTCTGATAGATATAATCTGCTATGAACTATTGTCATCGACTCTACATGTACTCCCTGCTGTCTATGCTGACCCACACGACAGGTAGCTTTGGTGGATATTTGTATTGTAGGCACCGGGATGTCTGATTTACCTCAGAACTTTTTTCTGACCAAAAGCAGTCTTCTGGGTTATAGATAGCAAGACTTTTCTATAAATGAGGTAATTTTAAAATTTTTTATTATACTCCATGTATCTACACTCAAGTACTATGGCACACTTCTGGAAGTTGAAGAACTTGCTGGAGTCAGTTCTCCTTTCATCATGTGGATCCCAGGGCTAAAATTCAGGTCACTGGGTTTAGCCCTAAGCTATTTTGATAGCCCCTGTGATCGGCTGCTTTTTAAGGGGTATTTGTTTTATTTTTCAAGACATGGTTTCTCTTTGTAGCCCTGGCTGTCCTGAACTCACTCTGTAGACCAGGATTGCCTTAAACTCAGAGAAATCTGCTGCCTCTACCTCCCAAGTTCTGGGATTAAAAGCATATGCCACCATGAGCCCAAAGAAGACAGTTTTTTTTGTTTGTTTGTTTGTTTTAGACAGGGTTTCTCTGTATAGCCCTGGCTGTCCTGGAACTCACTCTGTAGACCAGGCTGGCCTCAAACTCAGAAATCCGCCTGCCTCTGCCTCCCAAGTGCTGGGATTAAAGGCGTGCGCTACCACTGCCCGGCTAGAAGACAGTATTTTAATAATGTGCTTTATCCCTGTAAAACTGTGTTTATCTTGATGGTAAGACTCCTGCTCTAACAGAAGTATCAGAAGATGCTCAGTGATAACTCCTGAAATCAACTGCAAAATCTCTTATCTTAGAGGAAACTCTGCAGCTAGCAAAAAGGGATTTGACCCAAGGAAAGTTAAGCTTCTCTAAACATATACCCCAGTCCTGCTTACCTCTGGTGTGTGCCTCTTCTTCCTTCCCTAACTCCTTTTCCAAGTCTAGGGTTGTGCCCAGGGGCCTTGCCTCATACATGGTAATAACTGCTCAGTTCTGTCAATACTGGTTATCAAACCTAGGGCCTCACATGTGAGGCAAGGACTCCACCACTGAACTACAAGCACAGTGGAAAAGCATGTTTTTCCTTTTTCTTTGCCAGAAGTCAGTATTGTAATGGTGTAATTGAACCACAGTCCTGCTTCAAAAAGCTGAGTCCTGGTAAAGGTGAGCAACAGGCTAACAGCCAATTCTCATCTTGCTTAGGAAGCCCAGAAAACTGTTCTGCCTGAAGGACTTGGCCTGAATCAAGCCAGTCTTAAGGTGCAATTAAAACAGCTTGCTCAAACAACTGATTGTAAAGACAGGCAGATACTCAAGTAGAGAACTACTTATTCTCCTTTCTGTACTTTTTTGGTGATATCTGTAGTATAGGCACTGGAATGGCTGATTTACCTCAGAACTTCTTACCAAAAGCAGCCTTCTGGGTTAGAGTTAGTGGTATTTGTATTGTGTGTTCTGTGGGCCAGTGGCCTTGAGGCACCTGGGACTTTCTACAGGTAAAAATACTGAACTCTCCATGCCTAGATAGGAACAGAGCCAGCCATGGGTGATTCCTATGCTCTCCAGAACCTGATTTATCTTCTGTATTTTGCAATAGGATCAGTGCAGGCCCATCCATGTATTTCCAGTGCAGTGCATGGAAATACACGGTGGTCAACCATCTTAATATATATAATGGCATAGTGTTATATCTATCCTTTTATACACATTCTTGGGTTTCCCTTTTTTCCCCTCCTGTGTCCTTTAATATGTTATCCAGAGATGATTTAATTAATGTAACTATATGAAAATAATTATGACAAGAAATTTGGCTTGAATCTTGATCTATGGTTAAGTGTACAGATGTGGGAGATGAAGCTACAGAGAGTTGACTGTATGCTTCAGATTGCTGACTCGGGTCTCAGGAGGGGCTTTTCACCTTATGCTGTCCACCTAGTTAGACTCCTACAGTACTGACTGAGCTCATAATACTAGCACATGCATGTAAACAGAAAATCTCAACCCTGAACTCTGAGTAAACACTGCCATCATGACCTTCAATGGTACATTCTGTTTGTTTGTTTGTTTGTTTGTTTGAGACAGGTTTCTCCCTGTTGCCCTGGCTGCCTATGAACTCACTCTGTGGACCAGGCTGGCCTCTCAGACTCAGATATCTGCCTGCCTCTGCCTCCTGGGTGCTGGGATTAAAGGTGTGTGCCCCACCATTACCTGGATTTTTTTATCTTTTAAGAGTAATATTTTGACTTTTTTTTGGCTAATAGTCTCAGTAAGGCACTTACATGAAAAGAGGTAGAAACTGGGCATGGTGGCTCCTGTCCTTAGTGTAGCACTTGAAAAGCTGAAGCTACAGACAGAGTGAGATCCTGACTCAAAAAACACACAAAAAAAGCAAGGGGACAGGGAGAAAATTGGTAGGCATATGTATAACACTGCATTATCAAGTATTACCAAAAAATATCATAAAATAAAATTCAAAGCAAATTTTAAAACATTCAATTGGTAATATATAAATACTCTATAAAGAAATAGAAAAAAAATTGCAAAGAAATTTACCCTTTAACCAGTCTTAACTCCTAAGAGAACCTTCTTCCATCAAAGATTTGGAGTGACAGGTATAAAGGAAATTCCTTATCCCTACCATTTCTGAATCAATATGGAAAATCTTCAGAAACAAACAAACAAGCAAACAAAAAACCAACACCCTTTTCTATTCTACCATATTAAAACAGTTAAGCAACAAAAATAGCTATTGACCATCTTTCTCTCTCTCTCTCTCTCTTTTTTTTTTTTTTGGTTTTTCGAGACAGGGTTTCTCTGTGTAGCTCTGGCTGTCCTGGAACTCATTCTGTAGACTAGGCTGGCCTCAAACTCAGAAATCCGCTTGCCTCTGCCTCCCAAGTACTGGGGTTAAAGGCGTGCACCATCACTGTCCGGCATTGACCATCTTTCTAAGTACTGAGTTTAAGACAGTCTAATATATCACAGGCTGGCCATCTGAGGATGATCTTCTGGTCCTCCTGCTTCTACTACCAGAGTGCTGTAGCTATGTGCCACCACACCCTACTGTATACAAAGAAGTGGGTGCTGGGTGTGGTAGGTTTATAATCCCAGCATTTGGGAACTTGAGGTATAATTTGTTAGCACGAGGTCTTGACTTAATCCTTGGTAACTTAATCCCCTCTAAAACAGTCTGCTTGAAATCTAACTTGTTTGCAAGCAGCATGTAGCTGTCCCTACTTACTATCTGTCTTCAAGCCCTGCACCCTGTCTGTTTCTTCAGTGGTCTCCCATTGTACTGAGTTTAAAAGGTAGACTGACTGTACTAATGATACACAGTGACACACAGTGGGGGGAGAGTAATATGAATAGTAAAATGTTTGTAAACGTTCAATGAGAGAAAATTCTGAATCAGGATCTGGTTTATGCAGATGATTCTTTAAACTGTATGGTTTGGTCCTTTCTGCCACTCCATCACAAAATGGAGCTGAATTTTGGAGACTGATCCAGAGCACCTTTGGCCAGTGCCTGCCTGCCAAGGAGGCAGCTTGCCAAAGCACTGCAGGCTCCAGCTGTGCAGGCTGTGCTTTTCCAGTCTGAACACTTGGTGTGCCATTGAGTCCCAGAGGCAGGAAATAAAAGGTGAGAAATCCTGAAGGTAAGTTGATCTCTTTCTTTGGACAGCTAGGGCTAGAAGCTTCAGGTTGCTCACTCTTCAGAGGTAACCAAGTACTAAGTACTGGTTTGGCTGGTGACCCTGGGCTGGGGCCATCTGTATAGCTGGCTTCCACAGGCAGCCCAGGCTCTTCTTGCCTCAGGGTTTAGAAGCAGCTGTAAAGTCTCAGATATCCTGGGCCTACATCTCAGCATTGTTGTCTCCATGGCCCAATACTAACTATGAAGGAAAGATGCCAGCTTGGCCACAACCAACGGCTGCTGTTTGATAAAGGAGTTCAGAAGATGCGGAGGGAAGCCTGGTGCACCCAGCTCCACCTGAAAGCAGAAGGAAGAACTGAAGGCACAAACAGACCCAGAGAAGCCGCTCTTGACTGTGGTACTGGAGATGCACTTGGACCCCTGAGCATTTAGATTTAAGTGCTAGCTCTCCTCTCCCAATGATGAAGATGGAGTTGGCCTCAGAGTGGAGAGCCATGAATGATGGTAAGTAAGGATTCTGGTCTGCTGCTGCTCTTAGCTTCAACAGTCCTTCTATTTCCCAAGGACACTGTGGCTAGCCATAGGATGTAAGTCAGTCTCTGGTGCTGGGAGCTCCACAAAGACTATCGATTTACTTCTTCCTCCCTCTCTGATTCCCCTTACTATTAGCCTACTATTAGCTGGCCAAATGGTGTAGCAACTGGGGATTCTATGCAACTGGAGAGAAATATCCCAAGGTACGCCATGAGACAGGATACAGTGCTGTGTCACCTGGACAAGGAAGATGACTCTGGTTATTTCTTTCCCCTCCATGATGACAGGCTGCAGGACCCAAGCACTGGGCAGGATCTCTCCTCGGACCATTTTTCTGGTAGGTCTTGGCATGGATGCATCATACACAGACTGAACCGCCATGACTGATAGATGCCCCTAGGGACAGAGATACAGATGTGAGGCCTGCCTGTGTGATGACAAAACACAGGGTGTTCGGAGGTAATACCGTCAGTACTCCAGCCACCCCACTAACTGCACCCCATGCACTGTAGCCTAAGTTCATCCTGTAACATCTCACCACCCCAGTATAGGCACCTCTTTGGCTTCCACGCAGACACAGCAGAAATCTCGCAGCTGCTTCAGCGCACACAGTGTGGTATTGCACACCAAGTACACTAGAAAGACACATTGAATACTAGTCCTTTAGTGTTCAGAAGCCTCTGCTTTACTCCATAACTGGATTGCTAGCAGTCTTGCTGAGAAGTCTAGAGTTCCCAGCAGTGCTGCTTTGACCCTCCACCTCTGACTCCCTATAGAAGCTTTCAAGCCCTTTGACTCACCCAGGCTGATACTGCTGGTCACCCGCTGATGGAGCCTTGCTGTCTGGATGGGCTTGTGGTACAGAGGCCACAAAGTGGGGTCACTCACAGCTGCCCATACTTGAGAGAGCGGCTTGAACACCACACCTGCACCCAAGAATCCATGTCGAGTAGAAGAGAACTCCTTGTAGTAAAGCTGTACCTCTTGCTCCACACCCTGATAGCTTGGGGACACCAGAGGCAAGAAACAGTCAGAAAGGAGTTTACTAGCATGGGCGTGCCAGGAAGCCAGAGCAGAGGAGGAGGAGAATGAAACAGAAGGACCAAAGCATGGCAAAGTAACTTACGTCCAGCCATCTGCTGCCCGGCAGATGAAGAGGTTGTGGAGATTATCCGAACAAGCAGCCATTACCTGGGGCAGAGGGTAGAAGCCAGGCCTCTAGGTTCATCAGTCTGGGTAACATTTACTAAATAACCACTTGTCAAGTTGAAGAGTTCCTGAAGCCCCAGTGCCTTGGTGGCCCTAATCTGCCTGGCTCCTTTCTTCTCCCTCCCCATCCAACATCAGTCAAGCTATAACAGCAGGAGGAGGGAATGAATAAATCCAGAGACTCACATCAGCCATTGATGTATTGACAATGTGTTTGGCCAAGTCCTGATAGAGGGAGGAGAAGCAGGTCCCCAAGCTGGATAGGCTGGAGAGAGAGCAGCAGCCACTGCCCATAGAGGCTCTGCGGCCTACAACAAAGAGATGGAGGTTCTGCAATGACCTGAACATCAGGTGGTGGGACAGTGATACAGTGCCAAGAACCTTGGGCCAGTAAATCCTGCAGACAGCATTCCCTAAGCTTCATACTCACTGTGTGCTAAGCTCTTCCAAGAAGACCCAGTCAGATACAGGTAACTGTTCCTCACTGTGGACCGGCCCTGCCAGTCCCCTATCCAAGTGTCTTGGGAATTTGGCACTTGAGAGTCCTCCTGCAGAACAGATGATACTCAGAATAAGATCCAGAATGCCTTCCACTAGCAATTGCAATTCAACTTCAGGATGTTGGATACTATGGTGGTTTAAATAAGTATGGCCCCCCCAGGCTCATATACTTGAAGGCTTTGGAAGTCTTCAAGTCTTTGGACTCACCCAGAGTCCAAACTGTTGGTTACCACAGAGTGACACTATTTGAAAGGATTAGAAGGTGTGGCCTTGTTGCAGGAAGTATGCCACTGGGGATGGGCTTGAAGGTTTTAAAAGTCCATGCCAGGCCCAGTGTTACTCTCTTTTCAGATCAAAATATAGTCCTCCGTTACTTCCCCAGCACCATGTTGGCCTGCTGCCATGCCCCCTGCCATGATGATATGGACTTAGCTCCTGAAACTGTAAGCAAAAACTCCACAATTAAATGCCTGCTTCTGTAAGAGTTGCCTTGGTCATGGTGTCTCTCTTTATAGCAATAGAACAGTAACTAAGACTCAAGAGGTTACAGCAATAGATGTCAGCTAGAAAGCCTTCACTATCTAGGCAATAGGCTTAAAGGATTGCTTGCAGATCAGATGTCACAGCAATCAGGATAACCAGTACCTGGGCATGGGGCCTGTTCGTTTTCAGACCTCGGACAAGGGGCTGAGGTGCATATTTTACATACTAAAGCAGACCTGGCCTCCAGGTTTTCTCAAGCATCACTCACTTCCTACCTGGCATACCCTACCCTCTACTCTGAACTTCCAAGCCAAGGGGCTGGGCTGCCCTTCTCCCAGAAGCTCTTCCCTATATAATCCAGACATTTTGGTCTCTCCTACCTACCTTTTTTCTCCTTTCTCGGCGGGTGTGTGCCAAAGAGTAGTTTCCCAATAAACCTGCCTTTATGTATGTTCTAATCTGCCTTAAATTGGCTCATTTCACCAGCAGAGAAATAACTTATACAGGCCCTCTACCAAACGGCCAAATTCCAGGGTCAGTATGTGAAAAGCCACTTGTACCATGGTGGCAGCAGGAAAGAGACCATCACTGAGGGGTTTAGTGTGGATAGTAAAGTCAAAGTGAAGGGGCGATAAGGAAGAAGCAATGAGCTCTGAACAACACACCTTGCCCATGGCCAGGTACCACACTGAGCCAGGAGTCCTACTCTAGGACCAGAGCCTCTGGGTCTCTGCTGTCTTTGTTTAGTACACTGTGTCAGCCACCTCAGTGGAACAAAAACAGGCCAGCGTGATGACTCACCAGGTAAAGGCGTCTGCCACCAAACCTGAGAATCAAGAGTCCCTGATATAGAACCAATATTGAAAGCTTTCTTCTGGGCTGGAGAGATGGCTCAGCAGTTAAGAGCATCAACTGCTCTTCCAGAGGTCCTGAGTTCAATTCCCAGCACCCACATTTGTTCTCACCTCTCCTCCAAAAAGACACAATACTAAAGGGCACCAAGATGCTCGCCAGCCTCATCCTTCTGCATCTTTCGGCAGGCTGTCACATGCCTCATCAAGATCTGTTCCCCCACTCCCCAGGCTCCCTGCTTCCTGGCTGTACTCCTCAACCACAAATGGACATCTTGAGCTTCAATGCCCTAGGTGATGATTTCCAGCTATAATCATGAATTAATATTGAATCAACAACTGGGTAGGCATTGTGGACAGGGATTATATCAGAGACCTATTTTATAGATCAGACCAAATAAATCCTTTATGCTTTGTGGGTCAAAGACAATATTGCAGCCAAGAAAAATATAGCAATATTCAAGAAAAAATTTAAAAGGCCAAAGCAGGAAAATACTGGTTAGTATGCAAATTAAACATATATATATTTGCTACCAAAAACTATAGAAAAATTAAAATATGCAAAATATTAAAAAACATTAGTGGACTGCAGCAAACTCTTGATGTATTAAAAGAATACATCAACATGTATTGTGATGTATAGTGCACAATAGTTTCATATTAGCCAATAGGAACAAATAAACAGGTGAATAAGATGGCATTCCCCAAAGACTGAAAAGTAATGTTCTAGAAAATCATATGCTCCCATATTGTAAAATATATCTCAGTTTAAAACCTACTGTGAAACTTAGGTGGTAAGATACTAGATGTATCTCCCTAATATCTAGAAAAAGATAAGATCTAGCTAATGCTGCTACAGGGCAGGAGCACACAGTAACACAGCGAGGACATGGTGAGTCCTAAAGAAACCTAGAGGACTATCCAATATGATAGACTTATTGTTTGCTGACTGTGTGCAATGTGATACATGTGACCTAAGAACAAACATTTTGGACCTGGTGTTGGTCACCTTTTCCTCCACTGGCTTTCCACACAGTGGCAAAAGGAAACCTATAGCTTCCAAAGACCTGAGGCAGGATCACAGCAGGAGAAACAAAATATCCCAGCACTTGTTCTAGTTCTATTGCTCAGAAGATGTTTCCCTTCTGCAGGGGTGAAGAGAAAACAGAGCCCAGGAAAACCCATCAGTAGAAACAGGACAAGCCTGGCCACTGGGAAGATCACAACGCTCACAGGTTTATAACCTAGATAGATAAGGAACCTTGAATCTTCACAGCCTGGCTTTGGAAAAGGGTTCATTTCAAATCCTAGTCATCCCCCAGAAACCATTTTGATAATGAACCTTCTGCTCTAGGAATCAGAGTCCTGACCCCATCGCTAGGGCCCCACAGATATTCCACTGTGCAGCAAGAGGAGCCACCTCATGAACAAGACCTGGTCTAGTACAGTGACTGACTCAAACAAGTTTGACACAGAAGGGAAAGAGGGGATGCTATAGTTCAGAGAGCTGTCCCAAAGTTACTAAATGAAAAGAGAAGAATAGGCCAGGCACCAGTGAAATCAGAGGATCATGAAGGAATAGATTCCTAAAAGCTAGAAAATCTACATCTTGATAAATTCCTAGACACACATGGCCAACCAAAATGAAATCAAGTGGGCATTAAGAAACAGATCTATGCTGGGCAGTGGTGGTGCACGCCTTTAACCCCAGCACTTGGAAGGCAGAGGCAGGTGGATTTCTGAGTTCGAGGCCAGCCTGGTCTACAGAGTGAGTTCCAAGACAGCCAAGGCTACACAGAGAAACCCTGTCTCGAAAAACCAAAAAGAAGAAGGAGAAGGAGAAGGAGAAGGAGAAGGAGAAGAAACAACAGATCTATAACAAGCAACAAGAATGAAACAGTAATAATCTCCCAACAAAGAGAAGTCCAAGACTGGATGACTTTCATTACCAAATTCCATCAAACTTTTGAAGTTAATGCCAGTGCACTTCAAACTGTTCCATAAAATAGAAAGGAAGCAGAATCTCACTCATTCTAGGAAGTCAGTATAAGGACACAATAGCACAACTGTAGGCCAACCTCTCTGATGAATACAGATGCTAAAGTTCTCAACAAAATACTGGAAACAGAACACAAAAATACACTGAGGAGCTGGAAAGATGGCTCAGCAGTTAAGAGCATACTCTTCAGACAGGTATAGTGGAACATGCCCGTAATCTCAGCATTCAGGATGCAGAGACAGGCAGATATCTGAGTTCGAGGCCAGCCTGGTCTAGATAGCCAGAGCTACATAGTGAGACCCTGTCTCAACAAAACAAAAAGCATGTGCTGTTCTTCCAGAGGATCCCAATTCAGTTCTCAGAACTCATGTGACAGTTTGTAACCATCTCTAACTCCATTTCTACACCATTAAAAAACAAATCATACCGGGCAGTGGTGGCGCACGCCTTTAATCCCAGCACTTGGGAGGCAGAGGCAGGCGGATTTCTGAGTTCGAGGCCAGCCTGCTCTACAGAGTGAGTTCCAGGACAGCCAGGGCTACACAGAGAAACCTTGTCTCAAAAAACAAAAAACAAAACAAACAAAACAAATCATAAAAACAATCCCACCCACAATAGGTGCCTCATTTATTTATTTTGTGGCTAAGAATAAACTTAACTAAGAAAGTCAAATACCCACACAATGAAAATTGTAAAACAATGAAGAAAGAATTAAAGACCAGTATTGAGAGATGGCTGGAGGTTAAGAGCACTGATCTTCCAAAGGACCCCAGTTCAGTTTCTGCACCCTTACCTGTTGTACGCAGATCCAGGGGATCTGATGCACACATTTGCAAACACACACACACATACACATAAGTGAAAAAAATCAAGTCTTTAAGTTCAAACATGGAACTATCTCCTAAAAAGTTCACTATTTAAAAGAATTATAGTTACATGTCCATGACACTCAAAGCAATCTACAGATTCAGGAAGTTCTGCATCAAAATGCCAATGCCAGTTTTCACAGAAACAAAAAAACACATGAAAATGTAAAATACTCCAAACAGATCTTGAATAAAAAGAGCAAAGCTGGAAGCTTCACAATACTTGATTTCAAGACATACTACAGAACCATAGTAACAAAAACTGTGGTGTTGACATAAAAATACACAGACCGTTGAAAATCCCGAAAGAAATCTTATATCCATTGCTTCAAAACAGACCCCAAGCCAAAACTAGAGAGTGCAGCAGAACAGATACCACTCGGAAGAATGGAGACTCACATGCCGAGCACTGAGCCTGGATAGACCCTCATCAGCACAAAATCAACTCAAAATGGATACAAAGAGTTTGTTTCTGAGAGTGTCTTTTTTTACACCACAGGTAATCTAGAACTCCTGATTCTCCTTCCTCAACATATCAATGGCTGGGATTATAGGTGGGTATCACCCTGCCAGGTTCTGGACCAAAGACCTTAGTGAAAGACTTGAAACTGTGAAATTATTACAGGAAAACAAAGGAAATACTTCAAAACTGACACAATGATTTTCTGGACATGTCTACAAAAATTTTTAAATTGCCAGTTCATCTGGGCAATGATGGCGCACACCTTTAATCCCAACACTTTTGGCCAACGCCTTAAAGACAGGCAGATCTCTGAATTCTAGGCCAGCCAAGTCTAGAATGAGTTCCAGGGAAGCCAGGGCTATATAGAGAAACCCTGTCTCAAAAAAAAAAAGATTGATTAATTATAATTGACAATTGAGATTAATCACATGTAAAAGCTTCTGTACAGCAAAGAAAATTACTAGCAGAAAGACAATATTAGAGGGCTGGAGAGATGGTTCAGCGGGTAAGAGCACTGACTACTCTTCCAGAGGTCCTGAGTTCAGTTCCCAGCAACCACATGATGGCTCACAACCATCTGTAATGGGATCAGATGCTTTCTTCTGGTGTGTCTGAAGACAGTGACAATGTACTCACATACATAAAAAAAGACAACATAGAGAATGAAGACTATATCTGCTATCCATCTGATAAAAGAGTAATGTTACAGGATACTTTATCACGTTTTGTTTGAACCCCAAGATTGTGAACTAGGAAAACCTTGTGTGTGGCTCGACCCTAGAACATACCTTTTGTCCAAAAGCTTTCTATTTATTACAAACAAGTACTTGTAGTGTGGCCTAGCAGTGAAGTCAACCCTAGGTCAAGAGACAGAGCATAAGTAAACAGGCCTTTGAGTTGAAGGGTATTTAAGATAGCATGGGGGAGAAGAAACTTTTCCCCTATGGGTCACTGGCAGAGTAGGGTCAGCTAGGTGTTTTCTCTGCCCCTCTGAGCTAGCTGGTTTTCACCCCAGTATCTGGCTCCTGAGATTTCACTGATCAAATCAAAGCCTGGGATTTAGTTTTTTAAAACAAAGGATTCATATCTAGACTTATAAAGAAGTAAGAACTTTTAACGTAAAAGTAAGTAATCTAACTGTGAAAGTAGGCAAGTGATCTAAAACAGGTATATCTCAAAAGAAGATTCAACAAATGACCAACACGTATGAAAAAAATTTCATTATTAGTCACTGGGGAAATGCGAATCAGAACTATAGTTATATTTCATCTCGTTCCAGTTAGCATGGCTATTACATGTATAAAAACAATGCTGTTGAGTACATGTAAAAAAAAAGGACTCATACTATTTTGGTAGGAATGCATATTAATATATCCACTGCACATAACACAATGGAGAGATATCCATATACAAAGAGTTACTGAAGCTTTACTTACAAGAGCTATGTGACCATGTGACCATCTGATGAGCGACAAAGAAAATGTCCTTTATATGCACAATGCAATACTCTCTTCCCATAAAGAAAAATAAAACCTTGTTATCTGTGTCAAAAACCAATAAAACTGGAAGACATCATATTAAATAAGTCAAGCACAGTAACACAAGTACCACATACTCTGCTGTGTGGAGACCCAAAATGTCACCCTGGGTAGTAGTGACTGCAGGCTCATAACTCTGGTCAAACTATGAATGAATGACTGTTATGTGCTCAGCCATATCTGCTCAGGGAACATCATGGGAGAGAGGACAGGAGGACTGGAAGGCAGAGGCAGCCAAAGAGAAGTGGTGCAGAATGCTGACTTCCAGGCACGCCATGGCTGCTGCAGTCCTGAACTCAGATTACTGGCAGAAGTGGGCCTGCCGCCATCTTGTCATCAGGTGAGGAAGAGCACAGGATCCCCACCTAAGAGTCTGTGTGTGGTTAATGGTTGATGAAGGAGGGAGACACATTTGCTTCAGTGATGCAGCCACTGGTTGGGAGCCCATGCTCCTGACAACAAGTCCTCACACAAGCCCCTAGGAGTACCCTAACTAAACCTACTGCTTCCCACAACAAACAAGAAGTATGAGGCTGACTTGTTGGCAAGATGAGGGGGGTAAGACAGGATACTGGAGGGAAATATGGTTCAAGTACTGCACATACACACATGTATGACTACATAAAAGAATAAATCAAAGTTCAAGCCAGGCAGTAGTGGTGCACACCTTTAATCCTAGAATTTGAAAAGCAGAGGCACGTAGACCTTTGAGTTTGAGGCCAACCTAGTCTACAGAGTGAGTTTCAGGATAGACAGGGCTACAGGGAGAAAACCTGACTCGAAAAACCACAGAAAAATTCAAAAGAATCCTTGGCATTGGGCTTCTGAAGCCAGCCTAAAAATATATGAGAACTGCCATGCCTCGAACCAAGGATGTGGTATTTTTCTACTTACTGTTTAAAAATGGAGGTAACTGGGTATGGTGGTACACACCTTTAATCCCAGAACTAGGGAGACAGTGGCTCAAAACCAGCTTGGTCTACATAGAATGTTCCAAGACAGCCAGAACTGTCTCAAAAATAATAAAAATAAGTAGATAAAAACAAATGGAGATAACTGCACATGGTGGCACTTCCTTTAATCCTAGCACTAAGGAGGCAGAGGCAGGTGAGTCTCTGTGAGTTTGAGGCCAGCCTGGTCTACATAGGAAGATCTAGGTCAGCCAGGGATCTATAGGGAGATCCTGTTTCAAAGGTAAAGTGGAGGATACATGTAAATGTTTGGCTCTTCTACTACATGAATATATACTATCTATACAAGCATCCCACTAAGAACAGTAAAAGAGAAATGAATACTGCTCAGCTATGGTAAAGACTGAGCTGGTAGAGATTTATTGGCAGGTAATAAAATCCAAAGGTATTTTTAAGGAGAAAAAACACTCTGTCATATTCCCTGTTTTAATCACATGTTTTAATCACATTTTTCAAATCTCTCTCTCTCTCTCTCTCTCTCTCTCTCTCTCTCTCTCTCTCTTTCTGTGTGTGTGTGGGGGGGGTGTGGGGGTGTGTGGGGGTATGTATGGGGGGACATGATGACACATACCTTTAATTCCAGCACTCAGGAGGCAGAAGCAATGACAGGTAAATTTCTCTGAGTTCAAAGCCAACCTGGTCTACACAGTGAATTCCAAGCCGGCCAGGGCTATATACAGTGAGCCCCTGTCTCAAGATAAACAAACAAACAAACAAACAAACAAACCACAACCAAACTAAAACAATAAATCTTTTTATTTTTTAAAGGACAAAAAACAACCAAACTAAAATAAAACTGAACATGTACTGTTTGTTGGTTTTGTTAGGTTTTTTTTTGTTTTTGTTTTGAGACAGGGTCTCCATCTGTAGCTCTGATTGTCCTGGATGTGGATCCATCTGGCCTTAAACTTACAGACAGCCACCTGCCTCTGCCTCCCAAGTGCTAAGATTAAAAACCTGTACCACCATGCCCAGGTGTGTGCTAGTCTCGTAGAGGAGCCAGGTTCCATTCCCAGCACCCACATTAGCTCACATCCACCTGGACTCCAGCAACAGGGGGACCTGAGGACGTCGGCGTCTGTGGGCACCAGCACTCACACACATGTACCTACACACAGAAACACATACACATAATTAAAAACAAAACTTAAAAAAAGCAAACCACTGAACTGTAAGAATAAAGGGAGAGTAAGGCAGACCTAAAACAAACCACACAGAAAGGGCTCACAGCAGAGCCCTTGAGAGAGCTGGGTCTATACACACTTCCATTTCAGAAGCTTCCTGATGTCTGCCCACTTACCGAAACTTCTAGAGACTGGAGGTGCCCTGAGAAGGCTGGGCTGCTGTTGTAACCAGACGTGACACCAGAAGATATGCTTCCACTGGAGCTGTTGTACAGGGAGCTAGAGTTGGCTAGAATCTGTAGTTTCTCCTCTTCCTGGGAAGAAGACAGATAACTAGTTTCTAATGATACTGCACTGCCACATCTTCTCCCTTCCCTGTCACCTCCACAGCTGTCATCACTTACCTCCCAGAGCCTCCTGCTGTAGCCTCCCACCTACTTCCAGAAGCCACAACGCTATGCTTCCTTCCCCACATGCCTGACTGCACACAGAAGCCTCTTCCTCCCACACTCTGGCCTGGCAGAGTCCTACACTTTCAAGTACATCACCAGACTCACAAACAGGCAGAGTGAAGGCTGCCAAAGTCTAAGGTCTGGCCAGGTTCTAGGCCTGTCCTAAGGCAGAGGACAGTCTCATTCCCCACCTTCAGTAGCTGGGAGATGATCTGCTGGCGGATTCTCTTCTTTTCTTGTTCAGCTCGCTCCTTGAGCCGATCTCGCGCCTGGGCAATCTCCACCTTGGCCTCTTCACGGGCCCGGCGATACTCTTGAAGCATGAGCTCAATGTCAGAGGAAGGGCGGGCTAATCTTGGTGCTGGTTCTGGGATTCTAGTGAAGTCCACAAGGTGAAAAGACACCTTCTAACATGGCGAGCACATAAAAGTACGGTCCTGCCCACCCCAGCTGACTCAGCACAACATCTTGTTGTCTATGGGGTCATCATTTTACATTCTTAGGAAAGGTTTCTAAGAAGAAACAAGCCATTCTAAGACCCCGACACACAGGTTTACATAACATACAATACTTGCCCATGACTTCTCTCTGCCCAGCTCCTCCTGTACCCCTGTACCCCATTCCCTCCTATACCTCCGATCTCCATTTGCCCCAGACTCACTCATCTGCCTCAGTTTATCCAGAGGCATAGAGAGCCTCCGGATGATCACATTCCAGTCCCAGCTCCCACAGAGCCAGATTCTTCCTTACCTAGTGGTCTCCACAACATGCTTCCTCAGCTGCTGCAGGTATTCTTGGCGTCTGCTGGGCAAGTCAAGTTCCCAGGTGGGGAGAGCCTTGCTAGGCAGGAAGCCTAGTTGTTTCTGGGGACTGAGGCTTCGTGTCCGACGAAAGTTATGAAGTCGCTCAGCCCTCTCTCTCCTGAGGCTCTCAACAGTGTTTTTCTGCCTGAGACAAAACGTGATTGATTCCTACCACGGCCTTCACTCTCAAGCTCACCTTGCCCACTCATTGCCCTTCAGGCTCAGCCCTTACCTAGTGTAGAACTCCTTACAGGAGGGCACAGCAGATTCTTCAGGAGCAAGCACCTCCCCTGTCCCACTCTGCAGCACCTTCAGCAGGGCATCTGTCTCCCCAAAGCCATGGTGTAGTTTTGCTTCTGTGAGCTCCACACTGAGTGAGGGCTTCTGAACCCCAGCTTGTAAGGGGATGTGCTCCAATCGAAGCCACTCAGGGTCCTGGCTGTACTTGTCAGAAGGTTGCAGGGGCCTTTGTGTCCCCACAGAACTGGAGTCACATCTGACCCCTAAACTCTCACCTATGCAAGGTCCATTCTGAACTCCATACCAGTTATTTAAATTGTTATGAACTGGGAGGTCCCCGAGGCTGTGATGTTGGGGACCAGGGGCCACATGCATATGTAAACCAGGAGAGAGCAACCCCACTGGTTGGCAGGCCTGAGGTGGGTCTACAGCAGGACTTTGAAGTCCTGTAGTATCAGAGATCTGACAAGGGCTAAGGGGCTGAAGACCTGTCTGTGAAGAAGGTCGATCCACATTGGGTTGTGGCTCCAGCATAAACTCGGAGCTCCCATCCTTATTTGCTGCCCTGCCCTGCCACTGGCTGGGCCTCGGTGGACCATGCTCTATGGAAGCCACCTTCTCAGACACAAAGCTGTCATCTAGCTTCGGGCTCCTGTGCCTTGGTGGTGGAGATGGCAACTTGTTTTGGTCTCCAGTGGTGCTCTTGGGCCGAAGCTGCTGAGGGGCCTTTCCTAAGAAACTAACTTGGAGACTAGAGCTCTGCTGTGGACTGCATAGGGAGCTAGAATCAAGAAATAATCTCTCAGAACTTTTTCCTAAAAGGCTTTTGCCTTCCAAAGACTCAGCTCTCTGAAAGACACCAGACTCATCAGTGGCTTGAGAATTATCCATTGGCGGTCTTAGGTCACCAACAGCAAGGTCTGGATTAATGTCAAGCTTCTGGAAGTCTTCAAGAGGATGAGCTGAGGGAACTGGTAGAGTCAAACAGGTTAAGGGGTTGCTCAGCTCCTGGATGCTGGCACTAAATGTAAGGATTGGAGAGGAAGCCCTATCCACCAGCACAGCACTCGAGCTGCACAACCTTTTCTGGGTACTAGGCTCCTGGGTGAACTCAGAAGCACCAAGGGAGAGCCCTGAGTGCTGGGAGATTCTGGGCATGTTGACCACCATGCAAGATTCCTCTGGCTGCAGACTGGGAGGTGGGGAACCATCAGGAGAAGCTGGGGGGCTCATGAAAGTAATGTTCTGCTCAAGATCAGCTTTCTGAAACCTCAAGTGTGGTGAGGGCACAGAAGGGCTCTGCAGCTTATCATGGGTGTTTCCTTCATGGAGATCTGGGGATTCTGCTGCCTCCTCTGCCTCTGTCTTCTGAAACACCACTGGGTTATCTTCCTTTTCTTGAGCCACAGTGGTGATACCTGAGTCCATCACTTCAAGGATCACACTGACTTCCTCAAACTTGACCTCTGGGCCCTGAAAGGCCAGAGGAGGTAAGGCCAGGTCCGTCTGGATGCCCTCATCCACAGTGGTCCGAGTAGAACCATCCATCATGAGGGCCTGTTGGGCCTCGTCTAGGGATTCACTCTTGACATTCTGTTCCTTTATGACCACACTTGGCTGTGAGAGACTCCCAAGCAGCTCTGAAGTGCTGTGCAGAAGCTGTGAAAGGTGAACAGACAGGTTGTGCATGCTGGTCCAGGAGGCTAGCTCAGAGTCTGACATTGTCTTGGCATCAGGCTGAACAGAGACATCAGTGCAACTCCGGTGGAGCCTGCTGCCCAGGGTCTGTGTTCCCTGCTTAAAGGTATTCATATTGGCCTGCCCCACAGCACAGCCTGTCTCTGGTGGGCAGAGTAGTACAATCTCATCTACCTGAGTTGTGGCATTCCCTCTAGCCAGAGGCAGCTGATTTGAACTTTGGTCATTCTCAATGACACTGTGTATGTTTGGCAAATCCTGGGTTTGGGCATCAGTCTTGGGATGAGAGTGAAATGGAGATTTCTTGTCTTCTACGACATTGTCCACGCTAGAACACTGACCCATGTTTGATTGTACTAGAAATTGGGGTTTCTGGCTACAAGAGACATCAACTGCAGTTCCAAACACATATTGCTTCCAACCAATATGCACAGGTCCCTGTCGACACGAGGGCAGGACAGAGGGACTTAATTTACTAGAACCAAAGTGCAGCATTTCTTTGTCCCCCTGAGAATGCCAATTCTCTGACATATCCTGGACACTCAGTTTATCTGTCTGTCCTTGATGGGCCTGTTCCAAAGCTCCAGGCTTCCAGGTGGTCATGAACTCAGGGGTTGGCATACATGACACAGTGGACGATGTTGGGTAAGGAGGTATGACGGGATTCAAGGGCCTGTGATCAGAAGGGCCATTGTTCAAGTTACACGAAGCTTTCTGACTGCAATCCTGAGTCTTCAGAGATGCTGAGACTGGCTTTTCAAAGGAATGACCCCTGAGATGTGGTCTCCACAAGCTGGTTGGCCCCTGTGCATCTTCATCTGTTGGGGAAGGAGGTTCCACACTCAAATTTAGTTCTTGAAGAGACCGAGATGAGCTGACCACAGTAAACTGAGGTCTAGGGGAGTACCCGGCATGTTTGGGGCCAGAGAAGATTGCAATCAAAGGAAGCAAGTTCCTGTGGCTGGAAGGCAGCTGCTCCCTATCAGAGCAGAGCTGGCAAGGAGTCTGGGCAGCGGGCTGTGATGGTTGAGTTTGGGCTTCAAAGTCTGAAAAGAAAGTCTGGGATACAGAAGGCTTGGTTACAACTATCTCCTCTCTTTCACCACCTCTAGTCTGAAAGCCATCAAAGCCACCAACGTTAGAAAGTACTAGATTTCTGACCTGGGCCTGGTTTTTGCCATCTCCTGAGACCTGGTCTCTCTGTTGTTCTTCCTCTTCCCATGAAGTCTCAATCTGAGGGTAGCAGGTATGTTTCAACATGTCTACAAATTTGGCTTGGGGACCCAAGCAACTGTGACCCCTGACCTTAGTGGAAGGTTGCATCTTTTCTGAACAGTATCTGATAGTATTTTCTAAATGTCCAAACTGAGCCGCTATCACCAACTTACTGTCAACAGATCCTTCATTTGAATTTAGGGTGTGTAGCCCCTGAGTCACTGCAGGAGGTTCTGGCATGGTTTGGGATGCCTGTGCATTCTCACCTACAGAGTTATTCCTCAAAGTTCTCAGTGGCTCAGAGCTCATGTCTGCAGAACTGGATGGATAAATATCCTCAGGGGCAGTGCTGGCCTTCTTCCCTGTAGTCTTTTCCCCCGAACCTTCTACTGACCTTCCCCTAGCAACTGTGTGGGTGAGGCAATTTGCCCTTATTTCTGAGGTGGAAAGGCAGCTGCAGCTTTGAGCTGGAGAGGAGACAGGAGTGGGTGGGTTGGGAATGCTGTTGTCTACTGGCCCACATGTGTGCTTGAGGCCATGTGCCAAAGACACTTGAGAGTCTTTGGAAAAGCTCTCTCCTGCTCCATCCACTTCACAGATCCTAGCTGGTACTCTGACAGGTGAGTGCTCAGAATGTGGCACAGCCCAGGGGGCTCCCTTCCTAAGGACACCATCTCTATAACACGGCGGAGTAGAGGCATGAGAGCAGCAGACGTGAACAGCAGCAGTAGCCTGAGAACCACTTAGGTGAGGGCAAGGAGTACTTCTGTTCTCTTCCCCTTCATAAGATGAGCCAAGTGTCCCGCTGCCTCCAGTGTTCCCCTCGAAGACAAGGCACTCTTTTGGGCATGGACCAGGAGCCTCTTCTCTAACTCCATTGGAATTCAGGTTTGGTCTTTGATCTAGAAATGAAGTTGACCATGGATTTTTGCTGTCACCCCCACAGGCTTCTGCCAGACCAGAGTCAACATTTTTCCACTTGACAGGATGCCATATGTTAGCTTCTGCTTCAACTTTTCTTGGAGCTCCAGGCTGAACAGCACATGACTTTGGACTTGCTTTCATTTCTTCTAAGCCAGTAGAAGTATCCAAGCACTGAATATGGTCTTGCTTAGGCTGAGAAAGGTCTACAGCATTATCAACAGTACAGATCACAGACTGACACTCAGAATGGACTGCTTTTCCTGCCTGTGTGGTCACTAAGCTCTTACCTGAACCGCCTCCACATGTGCTATCTAGACTTCTAGGTTCCTGATGACCCAGGATATTGTCCTTCCCACCAGAGGGTAGACCTTCTGCAGTCTCCCATGCAGGCAACTGACTCTGCCCATGGAGAATCCTGCCAGGACTATCACAAGAGGTTTGAGAAGGCAAAATAGATGCTTTCTCTGATCCCACCCTCCCATCCTCCTCTACAGCTGGTATAGAAAGAAGCCTGTCTGAGGCCAAATGATCAACAGAGGACTTTGTTCTAGATGTTTCTTTCCTTTTCTCTATGATTTTAGAAGAATCAGACCATCCACTTGCTCCACAAAATTGCCTTGGTTTTCCAGTGCAAAATCTTTTTTCTAGCTCTGAAACAATGTGAGACGAAGCCAGTAAATGATGCTGTGGTCCTCTGTCAGTTTCAGGATTGGGCAGATGATGAAAGCTCCCTGCACTGGCCTGGGTTTTCCTTTCATCAGTCAAGAGGTCTGCAGACACAGCAGATGGAGAGGCCACATGCAATCCTTGTGCTTTAGCTTCATTCCTGGTGCTATCCCACTCAAGCTTTGGTGTCTGAGATCTACCAGCAGTCTCTGAAAAACGCTCAGCTTCTTGTGAAGTTTCATAAGGAAGGACTGTTCCCTCAGTCACAAAGTCAGTAAGCTGCTTCCTCTGTGCTTTTGCCTGTCTGATCTCTGCCAAGATACCCAGGCATATGGATGCATGGATAGAGGAGTCCGGTAGTAGCAGAGGCTCTGGATCAGGTCCCTTCAGTACAGACATGGGTGTTAAGTAAGCAGAGTTGGGAAGTTGTTGGTCTTCTGACTTCTCCTCTGCCTTCTGCCTTTCCTCTTCACCCTGGTCTCTATTGTTTTGTAAGAGGAAATTGACTCTCTTTTCAGTTTGCCTTGAGACCCTGTCCAAGGAACTGGTTTTTCTTTCTTTTTGTACAGTTGCCTCAGCCTCAGAACCCAAACCTTCCTGGGTAGTTGAGCCTATGGAAGTATCTCTGAAGTCCCCTTCCTGGTCTTCTTGGGAGCTAGTACTTACTGTTATCCAGTCCTCTGTCTCTAGGAGAATGCTGTCTGATATAACAGACTGACCATTAGTCCTCATGACCATGGGCATTACAGATCCACCCCAGGGAGTGTGTGTGGTGGAAACATCCCCTGAAACACTTTCCTGTGGGCTACTGCTTCTGGTTTCTCCACTGTGATCCTGACCCCCTATTCCAGTTGCCAAAGAATTTCTATTAGTTTTCAACATCACAGGTTCTAATATGTACTCAAATGAAGAGACACCTTTGGTATCAGAGCCATGCAAACAGCTTCTTGGGAAGCGTAGAGAATGCATGGGTTGGGTACCACACAGTTCTCCATAAGGAAGAGCTGCAGAGAAGCCTGTCTGGTTATGGAATGGGGAGACAGTCTCCTGGCTGAAAAATGTGCCCTTCCAGTGCTGGCTGGGAGTAGAAACTTTCTGAGTTGATAAGACCATATTCTCTTTTTCCTGTAGGTTCCCTCCCCTGTCCACGGTCATTTCATCAACTCCCCCTTGAGTTTTTGCATCCTCCAATTCTGAATCACTTGGAACTTCAACGATTTGGCTTTCCTGAAAACTTTCCATACTCTCCAGTTCCTTAAGACTTTCCAAGGCCCAAGTCTGGTTGTGGAATTTTGCTGATACTTTTAGAAGCTCATCATCTTTCTCAGGTCTCTCCACACTGGACTGCAATGGTAGAGCTCTAGCTAATGCTCTTATCCTTCTAGAGTGAAGGGAAATGTTGCTAGGCTTTCTGAGAGCTGTGCCTTTCCGCAAAGAATCGCGTGTGTCCCTAGCAAGTCTGTCTGCTCCAGGTGAATAGGAGAGCTCACTCTCAGACCCCCTCATTTGTACATATTCCCTTGATCTGAAGGGGCTTCCTATGATTTTCTGAACCTGAGTATTATTACTAATTGCAGTGTTACTCTCTATTTCTCCAGCTTTGCTGTCTTCGAAGATACTGTCCTCTGTCTGTTTTGGAAAAGATGGCTGATCCTCAAAGCATAAATGTTTTCCAGAACTTTCTGACTTAGGGACATGGCCAACCTTCTCCTGGTCCTCTAAATCCTGGAGCATAAGCTCTGTACTTGGTATGTGGGAAGCATGAAGAAGCTTATTCTGCTTGGATTCAATTTCTAAGATGCCAATTTCCAGCTGCATTACACTCCTGATCAGCCTAGCCATTTCATCGGTATTATTAACTCTTGTATTCTGTTTCTCTCCCAAAGGTTCTTCTTTGGACTGTATTTCTTCTAACTGTCCATGGGCCTTGCATTCAGTGGGCTTTCTTTTCTGAGAGCACATAACTAGATGGCATCTTTCACAGGTATACTGGGTTCCTGGAAGACTAATCTCTTCTTGGATGTCTTTGGAAATCACTTCTCTGAGAAGCACAGTTTCATTCCTCCCCTCCCACCTGTGGGTTGGACTTCCACCTCCTGCCATGATCACAGGGCTACTTAGACAGTGGAGTGATCTTGATTTCAAGGAAACAGCAGTTTCCTCTGGTATGACCTTCTCTAGGTCTAAATTGGCAATTTTGCCAATGAAGTCAGTCCTAGCTCCAGAAGGAGATTGACTGTGCATAGCACAGGACTGTATCTGTGGCAGGAGTGAACTCTGTTCTTCCCCACTTGCCTTGGAATCACAAATGAAGAGCAAAGTCTTTGACTCAGAGCCATTGAAGGCAACACTGCAGTGATGCCACGCGGAGGCCCCTTCTCCGTCCTCGTTGACTGAGAGGCTGTACTCCTTATTTAAAATACCAAGTTGATTTCCACATTCACAAGCTTTGAGGCTGGTAGAAGAGAGATGCTGTCTGTTCTGAACAAAACAGTAAGCAGAATCGTGATTTTCTTCCTCTCTCATATGTCTGAAGTGTTTCCCCAGCTCTCCAGTACCTTCTTCTCTCATATATCTGGAGTGTCCCCCCAGTTCTTCAGTACCTTCCCCTGTGTTCACATCTGTTGGCCTCTTTGCTGTTGTCTGCTGAGGTGAATCAATCGTAGAATTCTGACTTTGGGACAACTTGGGCAAATTATTTTTCCAGTGAGCTTTCTGGGGGACTTGATGGCTACAACCAAAGCCCCAGGCTTCCCTAGGGGGTGGGGATGGCACCCAGGCTTCCCTGCAGGCTGGAATCTCTAAGGCAGTTTCTGTCAGGGCATCCCTGCTTTTGGTTACATAGAATGTTTCCAGGGGAGGCGGCTGCAGGGAGGATGGGAAAGAGCTCCAGGGGTCAGAGTGCAGGAACAAGTCTGGACCTGAAGGGAAAGTGCAACAGGCATCTATGTGTGTTTCAGCTACTTCCTCGGTACACTGCTGAGAAGCTGCCTTCTCTTCCAGCAGGGGTTGCTGGTGGCTGCTGTGATTTAATAGTCCTGGTTGAACTGCAGCATTTTTCCTGAGAAGAACCCCATCTTGAGGTAAAAAGTCTACTTCAGTGGCTAAGGTGTGATTGTGATAAGCCCTCTTCTGGAAGAAATACTGCCCAGAGGAAGTTATCAGCGCAGAATGTCTGCCACCCTGAAGGCATCCTTCCAAGCTGGCCTGACTGACTTCCCATGCTTCTGTCTTGGAACCTGGTATCATATTTCCTGCTGTATAGGCCTGTGCATTTATAGATCCAGAAGTCTGCAACTCTACATCTGCTGGGTATGTCCCATTATAGTTCATCCTCTCAACGGAGCTGAAGAGATCAGAAGCACTTTCTACATTGGCACTCAGACTGTCATGGTCTCTCTCTGCTCTTAAGTGTCTGATTTTGGATAGTTGGACTGGAAAGGAGCTGAAATCTAAATTTCTAGATAATCCAGGGCCAGTTTGCAACTGAGTGTCTACTTTATCAGAAGCGTCAGCCAGGGAGCTAGAGTCTTCCTCCAGGAAGGGGAAAGCTGGTCTGGGCTCTCCTACAGCTTGAAAATCAGAATCAGAGAGCTCAAGGAGATATTCTTCATGAAGGGCAGCCCACTCCTTCTTATTAAGACTACGTACATGAGTGAACGAGGTGGTAGAGGGAGCCAGCACACTTGACATGTCAGAAATGTGGGACTCTTCAGAGATACCCTGGTTGGTCATGTCAGGCATTTCTCTGCCCTGAAGGAATCCATCAACTCCTGGCTGAAGGAGTCTTTGGCTTTCACAAACTGAGGGCTTGGATGTATCAGAAGTAGAGGTTGCATACAAATCTGAACTGCAGGGTGGCTCAGGACTGCTTTGGGGAAGTTTGCAGGTACCTGGTGGCTTTACTTTTTCAATGGTTAGCCAGTGTTTGGGCTTCTCACCCTGGGGCTGAATTTCATGTATGTCAGGGCTTGGACATAAAGAATGTATGACCCCTGAGGGGCTGCTGGGATTGACCTTAGAGTCACAAGAAAACCATGAATCCACAGATAACAGGGGGCTCTCTCTTGCAAGTTGAATGCCTTGGAGAGGGTTGGTTTGTTCAGAATAGTTTGCCTCCATTTCTGACTCAAGCTGCTCACAATGGGGCTGGAACTGAGGATCAAGGTAAAATGAATTGCTTTTTGGCAGAACACTCACCCCAACTCCTGTTCTGTGGTTGATAGAGCTAGGCTTGTCTGTTGCCTCCTGGTCTGGTACAGATAGGGTGGCCTTCTGCAGATGCCAAAAAGTCTCTGTAGGCATTTCGTCAGCAGAACCAAGGAAAGGCTCCCCTGGCCTATTTTCAGGATCAATCAGGCTGTCCAAGGAAAAGCTCCGGTACATCTGAGTACATACGCTACTGTCTGAGGGCATGAGGAGACCCCACACAGAGGCTGAAGTTCTGGCCCTTGAATGCCCATGGTCCTTAATGGAATATTCAGCTCTAGAGTTTTCTGGGAGGCTTCGGTGCCCTTTCTCAGCAAGTGAATCATCAGATATTTGACTGTTGTCACTTTCAGAGTTCTCCGGATCGGGAAGATCCCATTTTCCCTGAAGGTCCTCTGGCTTCAGCAGCTTCTTTGGGACTTTGGCATAGATATAAGAAAGAGAATCCACCGAGTAACTGCTTTCAGTGTCAGATAAATCTTTGTTCTCTTCCCTTACATGGTCCTTTATAGGTCTAGAATCTGTGAAGGAGGCTGGTGTGTCTAGATCCTCTGCACTAGGTTGTTTTTTTAAAGGACTGCCACAAGGCAAATGAGAGGACTTTTTGGCAATGTCCCTGGCCCTAGATGCCAACAGCCTCGGATTCTTTTTTGATGCTCTGCTTGGAGGAGGTGCTTTGAATTCTGCCTGAAAAGTCTTGACTATTTTTCTAAGCCCAGCTGCTGGCTCTGATCCACTGAGATCCGTAGAACAGGAAGATGTTTCCTCAGGAGCCTCGAAGCTCCTACAACTTCCTCCTTTTTGCCAGCCTGTTTGTGTGTTGACAGAGGCTACTAGTCCCTTAGCCTTTCTGGTCTGGGCAGCAGGGGTAAAGGTCCTTGAACCGTCCCTTGGTTTTTGTTTCTTAGTTGGTTGGCCCTGGGATAACATCTGACAGAGCTGCTTACCCAATGACTCAATTTCTTGGCTGCTGACAGATTTGTGGCTCACAGTGCGACAGGTGCCTTGGGTAGAAGCTCTCCTGGCTGGAGAGCACTTCCTCCGCTGTGATGAATGGAGGCTGTTCCTGCCCAGGCGTCCTGTCCTTGGAGGACAAGCTGTAGCCTTGGTATCTGTTGACAGGGTTTTCTTTGGCATTTGGTGAGTCAGGTCAGGCACAGGTGGTGACATGGCAGAAGGATCCGAGTTCATGAAAGCACTGTGAAGATAAGGAAAGCCATCTTAGAATAGTAATGTCCCTGTGTCCATATAAGGAATATGGCATTCTACTTAGTTACTCTGAAAGAGGTTGGAAAGGAGGCCACCCGATCACTGTGTCCTACTCTCCTCAGATCAATACACACAAAAGCAGACTGTTAACAACAGAGCCCTGGCTTTGAGAGGTCTCAGATACATGCTGCTCAATCACCCCCAACTGCTTTATCTTAGGGAAAAGTTTAACTGAACTACATTTCAAGCAACTGGCTACGTGAGGAAAATGGGGAACAATTTTAATACTATAAAGAATCAAGCAGATAAATCTATGGTGTGGTATCATCTATAGAACTGACTTAGCCATTTTGCATACTGGTAAAAAGAAATAGGAAAGAATGACTACGGGAACTTCAGACTTAACAGTGACAGGTAGATTATAAATCCAATTAGATCGTGATATGGAAAACCAAAGCACACTTCAAGCAACTTGAGAAAACTGAGTATGACTCAAACTTTAGCTTCTATTAAGCTATAACCTAATCTTGGCAGGTATGATTTGGTAGATATGATGGAATCGTTTTTATTTTTAGAGGTACATACATACTTAAAGATACGGGGCGGGGGGAGAGAAATGACATGATATTGCTTTAAATCCTTTGGAAGTCAGGGTGGTGGGACTCTAAAGTAGTACATCTTTATAATTGCTCAAAATACTCCAGGTATTTTAGGAGATTTAGGTACTCCATAAGTCTCTCAACTTTTTGCATGTTTGACTGTTTTCCATAGTAAAAAGTTGGCTTGCCTGCCCAGTTATTTGAAGGACAGTGAGGTGAGAAAACATGACAGCAACAGACATTGTGTGACTCTTCTGAGAAAGGCCCAGAACACACAGAACAGGACACAGGCCTCCACTCCGAAGAATCTGGTAGATAATACACTCCCCAACCCCATGACAGCAGACAGGGGATGAAGGAGCCGACAGTCAGATCCAAACATGTACAGGGGCCGGGCCGTCCTGTGTCAGGTCAGGATGGAGGCAGCCTGTCGGATCAAGGAAGACTGGTTGAAGGTGAGACTAAGGTGCAGGCAGGACACATAAGAAACTGCATCTGGCCAGGCGGTGGTGGCGCACGCCTTTAATCCCAGCAGTTCGGAGGCAGAGGCAGGCGGATTTCTGAGTTCGAGGCCAGCCTGGTCTACAGAGTGAGTTCCAGGACAGCCAGGGCTACACAGAGAAACCCTGTCTTGAGGGAAAAAATGCAAACAGAGAGAAGCCCAGAAGGACCAGAAAATAAACACCTAGACACCTCACAGATTGAAGAAGCCACAGGAGTAAAGAGCACTGTCTGGAAAACTGGGTTAATGCCATCACTGGTACCTGTGTAGCTGGGGCAAGCGCTGGCTGCCTAGCCTTTGGAGACTCAGAGAGCAGCAAGTAGTCCATCTGCTTCTCCACTGAGAACCTGGGCCTGGGGTGTTAGAGCTAGAGGCCCAACTTGGGGCTTTGGAAGCACCATCATCTTGGATCCAGAAGAGTGCACTGAGTTGCTCCAGTCTCTTCTGGGCCTTCAGCAGCCTCCGCTTCTTAATAATTCTCTCTAGCTGGAACGATAACTTTTTCTGCCTGATGTTCCACACTGTAGCCCGAGAAGTATGTCTCCGCAAGCACTGGGGCTGCACCACCCTCTTTTGGCTTTGGACCAGTGGGGATGGTGGAATCTGAGGAACTGTTGGAAGCCAAGCATCAGGTGCCACAAAGGCCTCAAGTTCTTTCTCTTCTCCACAGTTGGCTTCTTGCTGTGTCTCTTGTAAGCTGGCTAGCCAGGTCTCTTCTCTGAGTAGCCACTGCTGGTCTGGGAAGCAAAAATACCCAGAGAGAAGGTCAGCACTTCCTGCCTATGGCTGTCTGGACTCAGACATCCCTAGCCATGGCTAGAGCTGAAAGGAGTGAAGAGGGTTGGATGGAGTGGCGTGGCAAGGGAGAACTACAGGGCCTCCTTACTGAAGGGGAAGGAAAGGAAGATGTGTAGGCCTCAATGGAACAGTGGACAAGTGGGGCAGGTGGAAATGCACAGACAAGTGCGCCACTGGAGGGAGTCAGCAGAAGACGCATCATTCTGAGGGGCCATAGAGAAGTCCACTTGCTTATTTCCAGCCCCCTTGTCTAAGCATCAGGTCTCCAAAAGAAGGAAGAGAATGCCTAGTACAAAAAATTCCATCATATCACAAAGACATCAAAGGTCAGAATGCAGAAGCTCGGCAGCATGGAACTGGAAAAGGCTGATGAAGTAGACCTTAGATGAGGGCACCTACTGCCTTTTGTCTGCCGGCTGATATGTGTCTGGTCCAGTTCTAGCTCCTCCTGGACTCTACTCTGTCCTTCTTTGGCTTGCTGCTCCAGAGCCTCCACATGGCACGGCTGTTGCTCAGGCTGAGCTCTGTAATATATCTCGCTATTTCTTGATGGCTGCTGGTCCTTGTCACATTGCTCTTCCAATACTCTCCTGTGACAAAAAAGCTCAAGGTCACCCAAGCAAACCAAACTCAGGACAAATGGGTGGGAGACTTCTATCCCTCTGAGAGCACTCCTGAGTTCAGCAAGGTAGAAGGGGCTATAGCTTCTGGCAGCTTGGAACAAGTAGGTGTGTTGTCATAGGCAGCTCATGACGTCATAGTACAGAAGCAGAGAACAGACATTAGACTATCATATTCTTAGAATTGTGGGTTTAGCAGAAACCCACATTCACTGTCATAAGGAAATGAGACGAGTAAAACAGATGGTTTTTTGTTGCTATTTATTTTTATTTGCTTTGTTTTGTTTTTGAGACAGGGTCTCTCTATATAGCCCTGGCTACCTAGGAACTCTGTAGACCAGGCTGACCTTGAACTCACAGAGCTCCACCTGCCTCTGCCTTCCTAGTGCTGAAATTAAAGGCATGTGCCACCACACTTGGCTCATAAGAAAATCATAAGAGTAAAAGTACAAAAAGCTGAGTGTGGTATCATATACCTTTAAGCCTAATACTCTGGAGGCAGAGGCAAGAGGATTATGAGTTTGAGGATAATTTTCTTGCCTTAAAAATAAAAAAAATAAAAGATAAAAAATAATGCTTTAGCTAAATCAAGCATCTTGTCCAGACTTGGGAGATGGCTCAGTAGATAAAGCATTTGCCACGTGAATGTGAGGGCAGGGGTTTGGATCCCCAGAATACACATAAAAGCCAAGCAAGCGTGGTAGCTACCTGTAATCCCAGCCCTTGGACAGTAGACACAGGTGATACCTAGGGCAAGTTGGCTAGTCTATAATTGGCAAGCTCTGGGGTCAGAGACCCTGCCTTAATAGAGTGGAGCCATTGACTGATATCAACTTTAGGCCTACACACACACCTACACACACACACACACACACACACACACCCTCCCCCAAAATCATGTATACAACCAAGTATATGCACACAGAGCAGCTATTCCTTTAAAAATGAAAGAATTAGCCGGGCAGTGGTGGCGCATGCCTTTAATCCCAGCACTTGGGAGGCAGAGGCAGGCAGATTTCTGAATTCGAGGCCAGCCTGGTCTACAGAGTGAACTCCAGGACAGCCAAGGCTACACAGAGAAACCCTGTTTCGAAAAAAAACAAACAAACAAAAAAAGAAAGAATTAAAAGGGTTTCTACCAAAATTCCCTCAGGAAACACAGAAAAAACTTCAGAAACACTGGGAAGGAAAACTGTTAACCCAAAACATTTTGTATTTATACTTACACACGTTGTACTTGTATTACTACTTCAAAACTGGGCCACAGTAATGGCTGAATTATAAACATAAACCCATCAGTGAAGCCTAAAGAAGCCCAGCTAAAACCCACAGAACACCAGATCCAGGAGGAAGAGTGGGATCCATACTCTCTGAATCCCCTGGGTTATTCAGTTTCCTCCCCTGGGTGTTTCCCCAGCTCTCAGACTGACAGCTTGCATTTTCTTTGGAGAGCTCTTATAGCTTCTAGGAAAGCGGCAGTTCTGCATGGGACTGTGAAGGGGACTGTCCAGGATGCCAAGGTGTATTTACCCAAACTGTCTTTCAGCTTTAGCCAGAAGGACACCTCTGCTAAGCAGTTTTCAAATTCTCAGGACAGGTGAGAAAGTAAATAACTATGTTACATGTCTGGATGTAGTACCAAAACCAAGTTCTCATTACAGGGCAGCCAAGGGACCTGGAGCTAACGATGGCTGCCTTCATCTTAGCTAATTCCAGCGTCCCCCAAATACTGGCTGGTCACCAAGTACTTGTCAGGATTCTGCTATACTCTCCACAGTTCTCGGGCAGTTGTCCTCTGCTACCTGGGGCTTCACTGAGTCTGCAGCAGAATTTAATGGCGGCTACTTACTACTGCAATAGGAGTGAGAGCCTCTTCTGGGTTCTAGACATTTAAAGGTAAGCCCCACCCCACCAACTCAAAACAACAGAATGAGAAGAACATAGGCAAAAGACTCCCAGGACAAAATTTCTTCCTGGTTGGTCCATATCACTATTATAAGAAAAAAAAATGGCTTAGAAAAAGCTTGGGCCCAGCCAGGCAGTGGTGGTACACACCTTTACTCTCAGCACTTGGGAGGCAGAGGCAGGCGGATTTCTGAGTTCGAGGCCAGCCTGGTCTACAGAGTGAGTTCCAGGACAGCAAGGGCTACACAGAGAAACCCTGTCTCGAAAAAAAAATAAAGAAAAGAAAAAAAAAAAAAAGCTCGGGTCCTCTTAAATGTTCCTCCAGAGATGAATGAGGGATAGCAGCCTAGGATAAGGGCAGCCCTGAAGCTAAGCCCAGGTTAAAAGTAGGAGAGATTGCCCACAAATCCAGCCCCGGTCATGTAGTTTCTTCTAGCTGTTCCACTCTCTAACCCCTTTGCGCAGTCATTAGCTTGAGGGCCACACCACCTGACCAAGGGCTGGCACCAGATGCTGGCTACAGTAGATGGATAGGCCCAGCCCAGCCTACAGGCCCCTCAAGCTGGTAGTGAATGGTGGAGGCAGTCCATGAGAGAGGCCTTGACTCTGAAGCCCTTCATAGTCAGATGAATAAAAGAGCACATTCTTGGTGCTGGTGAAAGGTCACGAGGCTACAGAGTCCTGAAGATATTTAAAAGGAAGGATGAGCCTACAGAGCTCTCTGGGGAGGATAATGAGCTGGCTGAGACAAAAGGTCAAGAAAGGAAAGCAGCTTTCCTAGGCAGCTCAGCCATACAGCCGCTGGGACCATGGGCATGTGCTATCATGCCCATTCAGCTCCACCAGTCCTTATCACAGGTCCCCTGGGAAGGGGACAAGCACTCTTACTTTAGAGGTGAGGAAACAGGCTCAAAGAGTAAGGGAGCTATCTGAAATCACACAGCTTTTATGTGGCAGGGCCAAATGTGAATCTGTTCACCCAATTCCAATACACCTTTCTATATCTATAGCTCTTCAAATTGCAGTGTTGTTCCCTGCAAACTCTGCACTCTAAGAAAAACCAGATCTTCAGTCTGTCTTCCCAACAAAACCTTATTCAAAACAAAGTCTCTTTCATGTCTTCCCTACAAAATACTAGGTTCTTTCTGAGAAAATAAGAACTTCAGCCTCAGTCCCAAATTCTTCTTGGCTTTGATTCTCTCTACCTGTGTCAGCTTTCCCAGTTTGCCCTTCACTCCACAAGCCCCTAAGACCTTGACCATAGGCTCACCTGTCTCTAAACCTCCGCTGTAGCATCGTTCACCATGCGAGCAGCTCTGTGAAGATGCTCTGTTGCTCACCCGGCTCCCCAATCCATATCCTCCCCTCCTGTCAGTGTCAGGCTATTTTCATCTGTCATCAAATCCTCCAGGCCAGAAGATCTGGATCCCTCCAAAGAGGACAGGGGTCACAAGAACCTGCTGCAAATCCTTGGAAGTGCTTGATAGTCTTGATAGTGATCTCACTGGTACTGAGTCCCCTTATGACTTTCCTATAGTTAGACCTGACATACAGGTCAGTTTGGCTAAAGGAACAAAGGAGCTTCCAGGGGCAAACCCACCAGGCAAGGAAAGAATTCTGTATAGAGGATAATGATGAAGTAGAAAACCAGCTGCTGTCAACTGCATATAAGTTAACTCAAGACTTCAAAGTTTATCACAAAGCAGGTGAAGCAGGAGAGACAGCAGAATCTCAACATGCTTTCTCATTTGCTCCAATAGGTCCAGATTCCTCATGCACATAGCCCTGCATTGTTTGTTGAGAGAATAAAAGAGATACATTTTAGACCTAGAGGAAGCCATGTATTCTGGAGGCTACCAGATATACATACCATGAGCTCACACACAGGTGCATTGAGACTTAAAGGAACTGTGGGGGAAGTAAGGTTTAGAAGCAGTATCAAAGATGTCTGCCAACACTTTCCAGATAAACCTTGCCGACAGGGAGATGCATGTCTTTCAGTGGGAAGAGAGACAAGATACCAAGCAGGACGCAAATGAGGGCCAGCTACAAACTCAGCAGCCAGCTCAGCACTGTCAGATAATTCATAGTTTTTCATTGCTGTATCAAACACTTGAGAGAAACAACTTGAGAAAAGGATTCATCTTAGCCTACCAGTTCAGAAGTCCTGGTCTATGAGAGACTACCCTGCAGCTTGGGCATGAGGGAGGCTAGGGGCACATGTGGTAGTACAAAGTGGCTCACCTCATGGTGATGGGAAGTGGAAAGGGGGACAAAGGTAAGTGGAATATGATGCATCCCCAAGAACATGCCTCCAGTGACCTACTTCTTTGGAATCTATCACACCTCCTAAAGGTCCCAGAACCTCATAGCTTACGCCACAGACGGAGATTAGTCTTCAATGCCTGAGCCTGTGGACATTTGATTTTCAAGCCACAACCCTTGCCCAAGTCAATCTGGAACAAATTTGTTCAGACCTTAGTTGTTATACAACACTCTCCCAATTTCCATTCTGTTCCGGACTAAGAAGCAAACGTAGGAGACTCCATTGCGACAAGCAGCAGATTCTCACCTCTCCTTCCTGAGCACAGGGCAGAGACCCAGTCTTGAGGCACTGATATCTCCATCCAAGTCCAGCCATTCCAAAGAGCCACTGCTGCCAAGAGCCTCTCCAGCCTGAGACATGGAAAAGAGCAGTGAGCCCAGGGTAGTGCAGAGGCTTTCCTAACAGCTACCCAGAAATCACAGCCATGCCTACCTTGAGCCTCTGGTGCCGCAGCACAGCAGCCTCGGCTGGGTGGTTAAACCGGAATTTCTGTGCTTTCCCCAGTGTTATGACAGCTCCTGTGACACACAAGCCAGAGTTCAGTCCATAATCATGCCCTGAGATACACTGTGATACTGTGAGATAGACTCACGCTTGTAACAGGCTAAGTTGGCATGTATTCATTATACATCTCACAGTTAGAATCAAATAAACAGCAGGACAAATTCCAGGTAGTGTAGTCAGAGAAATTTCATGAAGAGGCAGGCTCTGAGTTCAGCTTCAGAGAATGGAATTTAAATAGGTTAGTACTAGAGGCACACTGACACAAAATCTTTACAGCAAACTACCAAGAACTGCAAAAACACAGGCTTCATTCAATCCTGCTCTATGCTCCCATTATCACAGATGAAGAAACTGAGGTTCAGATAAACAAGCACAAATTTCCATGAGTCATTCTCTACCCTTGGGTTCTAGAATAAGAAGGATTGAGTTAGAAAATCTTCGGGTCTCTGGGTGAAGAGGCTGAATAACACATGATTGACTCTTGCTTCACTCTGGACCTATCAGATTGAAGATGTCCATCACTCATCCAGATATATCCTGGGAGGTAGACAGCCTTACCTTGTGTCAGACGGCAGGAAGCAGTGACTTCACGACCATTGACTGTACAGCGTGCCCCTTGGCTAGGCCGGAGAATAACCACCCCACAAGTGCTAGTGATTGTGCAGTGGTCCCTCTCAATCCACTGGCCCTGAAGGACTAAAGAGGAGGGGGCAATTTGAGTTCAGAAATCATTCAGGAGAATGTCTCTTCTAGTTTTGGAAGTTCCAACACAACACCTAAAATATTTCCCAGCCCAACAAAAACAAACAAACAAACAAGCCTCCCACCACCTGAAACCACCCAAGAGCTCAAAGTCTCTCTCATATAAGCCTCCTCCTTCCAAGTTCCAACTAAAAAAGCTAACAGCAGAAAGGAAAGCAGACCCATAACCCTTCAGAGACTGCATTCTGTTTCACGATCATCAGCTTCCTTTATTCAGGCACAAATAGCTGCCTGTGTCAGACTCAAATGTGCGTTTACCTACCGATATCCTGCTCCTGGTCTGAATCAATCCTTCCTATTTTTGTTGTCCCCTCCTATGAGGAAGAAAGAAAGAAGCCATTTTAATAAGAATGAAGAGAGCCATGGCCCTGCCCTCAAAGCACAGTCCACCTCTGTGTAAACCCTGGGTCTCCCATGCCCAACTCAGAACCATTCTCAGAACCATTTCCCAACCTCACTAGGCTGGTCTGACCTTCCACCGACTCGATCTGCAGTCCAGGGGGACATAGCAGTAATACACACCACTGCCTATTTGCAAAGCCCAACAACTGCTGATAGACTCCTTTCTGCCATGTGGCCTGAATAACTGCTGGTTAGAAATTCTTGAGTAAGAGGAAGGGGGCACACATATACTACATATACTTCATATTCTCTCCCTCTCTCTCTCTCTCTCTCTCTCTCTCTCTCTCTCTCTCTCTCAGACAGGGTTTCTCTGTATAGCTTGGGATGTCTTAGAACTCACTCTGTAGACCAGGCTAATCTCAGACTCAGAAATCCGCCTGCCTCTGCTTCCCAAGTGCTGGGATTAAACGTATACTTCATTCTCAAAGCAACTAAGGTTAGTGTGGCCCATGTTTGATTGCGGAGACTCAGAGATTTTTTATAAAGATTTATGGATTGTTACCTTCTTGCTCCACAGAGGAAGCATAACAGATGTCAAATTCTATGAAGGGTTAGCACAGACAGGGGAAGGCGTCTCTATAAGTGAGAGGAACTGGAAGACAGTAGAAGAGAGCACAGCAACTGGTGTTAACACAAGCAAAGCACTGAATTAGTACAACACTAGGCTTTGGGCCCTTGGTTATGACAAACCTGCTGCAGAGCACACAGTTATTAGAAGGCACCAACATGGTAACAAAGATGCTAACTTGAAGGTGTATGTTTCTTAAGTAACCATGTCCTATGTCCCAAGAATCATGCTGAACATTTTGTAGACATTGTCTTACTTCTTTTTGTTTGCTAGCTTTTTGAATCAGAAAAGCAATGGAAGAGGTGCCATTCTTACCTTAACTGAAGAAACTAAGGCACAGAAATAATGAGTCAGTTACAGGAAAGCATCATTAGCAGTCGAAAACCAATAATCGCCGGGCGGTGGTGGCGCATGCCTTTAATCCCAGCACTTGGGAGGCAGAGGCAGGCAGATTTCTGAGTTCGAGGCCAGCCTGGTCTCCAGAGTGAGTTCCAGGACAGCCAGGGCTACACAGAGAAACCCTGTCTCAACCCCACCCCCCAAAAAAAAGAAAACCAATAATCATGCTCATTTCCTTTCGTCATTTACACAAAACCCAAACAAATCCCACTCTGGCTAGATCAGATTCCTGAGGCAGCTCTGAGGCCTTGGTCTGGATCCCGAAGAACATGGCTGTGAGCTCCTTTCCTTCCCTCACTTCTGAGGCCAGTGTTGAGGAGAGAGGAGGTGGACCAGCCTCCTCACCTTGAGGTGATAAAGCACCACGCCTGTGCTGAGCACATCGTCCTCCAGAGCCATCAGGTGTGGCAGGCTGGAGTCAATGACCACCCTGGCCCTCTTCCTGTTGATGTCCACACCATAATGCTCCAAGAGCGCCTGCCGGTCATTCTGCTTCTGAGGCCAGGGTTCAGTCAGTGTGTCTATCTGCAGAGGTACAAGAGACAATAGATTTCCTGTGTGGGGAACAGACTGAGGTCCACTCTTACCTACTGCCTCCATGTGTAACTTCCTCCCTCACCATCCCTGCTGTCACTATTTGGAACCTCAAAGAGGTTCTTGTACCTTTTCATCTGTGACTGCTTCCTATGTTTTAAGTGTTCTTTAGTAAGCAAGCATCACTTTCATAAACAGCAGCTCCTTCAATAAATGCTTATTTATTTTTCTTATTTATTTTTCTATTTATTTATTTATTTATTATTCTTTTTTTGTTTTGTTTTGGTTTTGGGGGTTTGTTTGTTTGTTTGTTTGTTTTGGTTTTTTGAGACAGGGTTTCTCTGTATAGCCCTGGCTGTCCTGGAACTCACTCTGTAGACCAGGCTAGCCTCAAACTCAGAAATCCGCCTGCCTCTGCCTCCCAAGTGCTGGGATTAAAGGCATGCGCCACCACCACCTGGCTATTATTCTTATTTATTTTAAATAAATTCTTCCTCAGTGAGCATACATTGTTCTTTTACCCAGAAAAAAAAAATGTGTCATGGGTTTGAATATGAAATGCCCCAGAGGTTCCTGTGTCAAAGATTTGGTGCCTCGCTGGTAGCATTGCTTTGGAAGGTGACAGGACTTTAAAAGGTAGGGCCTAATTGGAGGAAGCATGCTTTGGAAAGAAGTACCATGTCACTGGTCCTTCCTGCCTCCCTTGCCACATCTCCGCGGCTGTGAAGTGACTGTCTTTGTTCCATTATACTCCCTGCACCAGGAGAATCTGCACGTGCTTCCACACTGAGGCTGTCCACTCTCCGGTTCTGTGGTTTGCTTATGTCATCACTCCCTCATACAAAGTACTCTTCTGGCTCTCTAACTCTATCAATCCCACAAGATCTGGTTCAAAACCAGTTCTCTGCCTTCCAGCATATAACAGCTGTTCCAAAAATTATAGGGCATAGTGATTTCTTCCTTATCAGACACGTCACCAGCCTCTGCGTATCCAAAGGTCTATGCCGCCTGAGGCAGGGACTCCTCTAGTCCTTGAAGCTTCAAACTGAGTGCTCAATCTGTGAAAACATGCTGACTGCCTGATTTACTGACTAGAAAATCATTTTGCTATACTCATACTGTCTAAAAAAAGCTACCATGAGCCTGAGAAAATAAAATATAAACATACAAAAAATACATTTACCATCAACTAAGGCAAACACCTTCTCTACTCAAGGCTCAATGGAAATAAAAATGATTTCTGAACTAGACAGCTGTTCTCTGCCCCACTGAGGGAGCAGACCTAGATGAGGAATGATGTAACTTATTTGCAGGGTACTGGAAAGTTCTACTGGGTCCGCTCAACACACCTACCTTCAAATCATTCTGGAAGACTAGCTCCTGCAGGTTCTCACTCACATCATCATTTAGTGAACGCAAGTTCCTCTGCAGAGAGACAGAGGGGGCAGGGACAGAGAACAAGTTCTGATATTTTCTTGGTATGACCTACAAGTAGGTCCCATCATTGCACCTAAGAAGGATAAAGTACGGACAAAGCAAAGACTTCACCACCGAAGTAAGAAATAAATCAGAGGCCGGGCGGTAGTGGCACACGCCTTTAATCCCAGCACTTGGGAGGCAGAGGCAGGCGGATTTCTGAGTTGGAGGCCAGCCTGGTCTACAGAGTGAGTTCCAAGACAGCCCGGGCTATAAGACAAACCCTGTCTTGAAAAAACAAACAAAAAACAAAAAACAAAAAAAAAAAGAAAGAAATGAGAGGTATTTGGCATTTGGGCTCATATGAGTACAAAGGAGAAATGAAATAGATTTTTCTCTAGGACTCAATTCTACAAAGAGCAAGTGCCAGCAAGGCAATGTCCTCTAGACAAAAGACAACACATGGAAAGGCCATCCAGCTCATTTGAAGTCGCAGAGAAATCAGGGGGATCCTTCTGCCTTTGCTCCACCACTGTCACTGAAAATATAAAGTTCAGGACCAGCCAGATGGCTAGGCAGGCAGAAGCTCCTTCTGAGCATGCCCGGCAACTAGAGATTTATCCCCAGAGCCCAAGGTGGAAGAACCACTCCTAAAAGTTGTCCTCTACTTCTATATGCATGTATACACCCATGTTCATACAAACACACAATAATAAAACTTGAAAACACAGAGTATGGCAGGCCCCAAGTGTTCAAGATGCAAGACCATCATTGGAATATAGAGGAGTACAGACTGCCAACATACCAGTTCAAAGTTCAGCAGCACGGCTTTCAACCTCTCAATCTCCTCCCTGAGGTCTCGGATGAGCTTCACATTTACATCCTGAAACACAGAGAACTCAGTTCCCATTGGCTCATAGCAGGTCCCAAACTGAAGTGCTCATCTGGAGAAGGATGCTATTCTTTGGGAGTGATTTCTCAGAGTACAATCCCAGGACCTACAGCAGTATCAACTCATCCAAGAACTTACGACAAATGCAAATTCAAGCCCCACTCCAGAAAGCAATTCTTGGGGGGTGAGGCTCAATTATGTTTAACAAACTCTTCAGGTGATTCTTTTACATACGAGCTTTGAAAATTACCATCTTAGAGCAGGTCTGGGAGGCTCACAAATGCTATTCTTCCTGTAAGATGACTAAATCTGATGCATGCCTAATCACACCGCCTTTGAGAACAGCCCCCAGGTATGTCTGTCCACCAGCTCTGACCCCTGCTCTGAAAGTCCTCTGAATCTCTAAGAGATAAGAACATTTGTAATGTTCTCATCATTACTCAGCTTTCAAAACCACAAGTTCCTTATAGTTCTGGTTTAATCCAAAAGAGAAGTCAACTGCAATTTATATAACAAGACCCAGACACAAATCAGTATCAATTAAAAATAAAAGCATCAAACAGAAAGTTCCAAATGACCTGTCTTAGAGTGGCAACCATACATTAGGGATCCTAAGAGGAATGGCCTTAAAGAAACAAATGCCTAAAGGAAGCTGTTCATAAAATGATTTGCTGAGAGATCAGAGAAAGGCAGGGCACTACACTGGGAAAAAGTACATCGTTTGCAGACGATAACTTGGGATGAAAATTGTGCTCATTAGTTTTTTGTCAACTTGACAGAAGCTAAAGTCATCTGGAAAACTGGAACCTCAACTGAGAGAACTCAGACTGAACTGTAGGCAAGCCCATGAGGTATTTTCTTGGTTAATGGTTGACGGGGAGGGTCCAGCTGACTGTGGACAGTGCCACTTCTGAGTAGGTGGTCTAGATTGTATAAAAATCAAGCTGAGTGAGCCATGAAGGGCAATCCAGCAAACAGTTACTTCAGGTTCCTGCCTCGGCTTCCCTCAATGGTGGACTGTAATTTATATATGTTATAATCCCTTTGTGGTGTTTTGAATTAGACATCCCCCATAAATCTTAGACATCTAAATACTTGGTCCCCAGCTGGTGGCTGTTTGGGGAGGATTATGAGGTATGGTCTTGCTAGAGGAAATATGTCATGGGTTGTGGTGGGGGTATTTGAAGTTTCAAAGCCGTTTCTAGTTAGTTCTCTCTGCCTCCTGCATGCGATTGAGATGTAAACTCTCAGTTGCTGCTCTGAACACCTTCCACCTGCTACCCTTACTCCACCATCCTGGACTCTAACATAATCCCCCAATAAACTCTTTCTTCTGTAAGTTGCTTTGATTATGGGTCTTATCACAGCAACAGAAAAGTGACAGACACAGATTTTCTTCCCAAGCTGCTTCTTGTCAATGTTTTATCACCGCAACAGAGATGCCGACTATGATAGAAATAATGAGAAAGAAACAGAAAACAATAAGGAGAACTTCAAACAATGTCAGACCAGGTCTTCCAATGAAGGTCTTACCTCATTCACCTGTGGCTTGTTGATGATGTTTTTGGCATTGGATGCGTATCTCATTGTACTCATGGTCTCACTGTAGCTGGTATGTGCAGGGGACACAGCTGAGGTAGAAGGATAAAGATGAGCTATAGTCTGGGCCCCTCCCTCTTACTCACTAGTCTTGCTGCCAATGCACTCTTGAGGGATTGAGGAGGACTGAGCAGCCTAAGTGGTCAGTGCACTTTCTAGACACAATACCAGCTCCAAACAGAAGAGGATCCAACATCCCACTTACTGGCAACCATGATGGTTTTGGAGTTGCCTCCAAGGCTCTCTTTCAGCAGCCAGGTCAGCACAGAGTCCCGGTATGGGATGTAAGACTGCCTCCTTGCAGGTCCCCCTCCGCTGCTGGTCCCAGACGTGGTGCTAGGAATCCCACTGTCACCTCCACTGCTGGCTGCACTACTGAGGCTCTGGCAGCTGCTGAACACTTGTGAGTTCTGGGCTTAATAGATAAAAAACAAAAGTAGAAAAGCAAAACAAAAATAGAATACTGAAGGCATTATGAAGCAAATGCACTAAAAACAATGATTACAGAACACAGACTGAGTATCATACCCCTTTTCAGCATATAATAGATAGGAGGCTTTACCTTTAAGTTCAGACTTTGAACTATGATACAGAGTATTTTAACCTGATTCTAGAATGATGGTCACTGTATGCTAAAAATAACAGGTTTTCATGCTCAAACCACAATATAACCTTATCAAAAAATAACCTTGTAAGCATCTGCCACATTATGACAAAATGAAAACAGTATGAGTTATTTTTCCAAGTCTCCCTCCCAACGTCATTCACCCCAAGTCCATTACCAAAATACCTAAAGTGGAGATTACAATTCCCAGAGTCACAAGGGACTTGTTGATATTGGCGCCTTCAGTAATCCGGTCCTTACAGTAACTGGGATCCGCTCTCTCACTAAAACAAACCAGTAAGAGTAAAAACAAAGCACACAAGACTCTGCAGGGCTGCTGGACCCGTCAAGTTATAACACATCCATAGCATCAGTTTCTCTTGCGTTACTCTCTCCTGTGTCATCCTCAACACTATTCTTCTTTCTGGATACAAAGAGAAGCAGATCCAGAATCCCACTTACTGGCAACCATGATGGTGTGGAGTTGCCTCCAAGGCTCTCCTTCAGCAGCTAGGTCTGCACAGAGTCCCAGCCAGCATGGGATATAAGACTATAGGATTGCCTCCACCTAGGTCCCCTTGTAAATCCTGCTAGTGATTTTTTTGAGGGAAGGAGGAGCTGCCAGAGCATTTTAGGCCAAACAATGCTTATTACAGTATTGATGGTAGCAGTGGAAAGACTTGCTTTTAAATTATTTTGACAGTTTAATGATGGTGTCTATGTCATTAACTGTTATGTGTCTCAAAATTTGTTTTTTTTTGGTTTTTTTTAAAGACAGGGTCTCATTATGTAACCCAAACTGGCCTGGAACTCACAGAGATCAGCCTGTCTCTGCCTCCTGGGTGCTTGGATTAAAGGTAGGTAACTATTATGCTTACCTTTGCAGAGTAATGACAAGTAGTAAAACTTCACAAGTTTAGTTAGCTGGTATGCTTTCAGACAGGACTTAGCTTCAACCACTGTCACCCCATTGCCATTTGGGACTAAATCTGGGGCTTAGTGCACACCTAGTAAGCACTTCATCACTGAAAGTCACCAGCTTCTCACCACACTGTTTTTGTTTTTTTGTTTTTTAATTCCAAATTGAGAAAATTTGCCTTATATGATAATATACCTTCTTATAAGACCCTCAATTTTTTCTTTTCTGGATACATATTTGGCTATAATATGAATACAGTATTAATACTTCTAACAACTCAAAGCACGGCATCTTTAAAAATATTTAAAGTAGATACAGCTACATAAAATTGATATTTACATTTTCCTCGTCAACATAATCACCTCTTTTTTCAAGACAAGGTTTCTGTGTAGCCCTGGCTGTCCTGGAACTCACTTTGTAGACCAGGCTGGCCTCGAACTCAGAAATCCACCTGCCTCTGCTTCCCAAGTGCTGGGATTAAAGGTGTGCGCCACCACTTCCCGGTGCACATAATCACCTCCTTCTGATCTGAGGAATAGGTTTTTGGTGTTTATGTTTTTTGGTTTTTCTGTTTTTTTCGCGACAGGGTTTCTCTGTGTGGCCCTTGCAGTCTTGAAACTCATCTTGTAGACCAGGCTAGCCTCAAACTCAGAGGTCACCCAGTCTCTAAAGTGTGCTCTGGAAGTTTTCACGGTTCCAACAGACAGTTCAGACTAAGAACCCCGGATGTGGAAGGATTTCCCAGCTCCTGAGTTGCCATAATCTTCCAGCTGGCATTCAAAAATTCCTTCTTTTGTAATCTCAGGATGATTAAACATTCAAACAGGCCGGGTGATGGTGGTGCACGCCTTTAATCCCAGCACTTGGGAGGCAGAGGCAGGCAGATTTCTGAGTTCGAGGCCAGCCTGGTCTACAGGGTGAGTTCCAGGACAGCCAGGGCTATACAGAGAAACCCTGTCTCGAAAAACAAAAAAACAAAACAAAACAAAAAAACATTCAAACAGGACAAAACACAGAACCATGCCTATCTCATTTAAAGTGGGCAAGGTATAGGTCACTGTTAATAGAGCAATAACTCTTAGCTTTGAAATCCCAGTTACCTGCCTGCTAGGTCCACAAGATTGATCTTGCTGGCCGTCTCTGAAGGGAGGTTGTTCTGTAGGATTGCCTAAAAACAAAGACCATTTAAAGCTATCATTCAGAATGATTTGCATCCCCCAGAGATACTTTTCTAACCAAGGTGACATGTTCTGAATCGCATGAACACTCACTATCTGATCAGCATGACTTTTAAAATCACCAGCACAGCTTAGAGTAAGTAGGGTGAATCTCCAGAGAGAACTCTGCAGAGTTTTTTAGGACAGTAAGGATGTTAGCACAACTCATCAAGCAAGCCAACTGGGAGCCTCTGACTTTCACCAGCAAAGAACCATAGAAGATGGGATAACCCTTGATCAGGTCTGTTATTCTGTCAGTCACACGTGCTAACTTTCTATGGCAAGAATTTAACATATGCCATTTGGGAACACTTAGCCACCTCTTACAAAACCGGTTCTCTGTTTTCCTCATCTCCTAAAATTCAATGTGGGTTTGTTTTATAATTTTGTTGTTTTTTCCAGACAGGATTTCTCTGTGCAGCCCTGGCTGACCTGGAATCTACTCTGTAGATCAGTCTGGCCTTGAATTCAAGAGATTTGCCTCTTGAATGCTAGGATTAAAGACATTTACCACTATGCCTGCCTTATTTTGTAACCTTTTGACTTATTTTAGTTTTTAATTGTATGTATGTGTTTTTGTGTTTCTATGTGGGTGCATGCATGTGAGTGTAGGTACCAAAGGGGTCTGGACAATGTCAGACTCCCCTGCACTTCAAGATCCAGGAAGCTGTGAGTGGCCTGAGCTTGGTGCTGGGAACAGAATTCAGATCCTTTGCAGGAGCAGTGCACACTCTTCACTACTGAGCCATCTTTCCAGCCCCTTTTATAAAACTTCAGTGCTGAGCCTTCATCATCAAAATTAACTTTTAGAATATTTCCAATGACCCCCAATTTCTTCTGACTGTGTTTGCAATCAATCTCTGCTCCCATCACCAGCTCAAGTAATCACTAGTCAATGCTTTCTACAAAGCTGCCTTTTGGGATATTTCATAAAACTAGAATCATACACTATCTTGGTTTCTTTTGGTTAGGCATAATTTTGAGACTCAGATATGCTGAAGCATCCTAGTGTATTATCACTGTGAAGTAACACCATGACCAAGGCAACTCTTATAAATGTAAATATTTAATTGGGGCTGGCTTATAGTTCAGAGGTTTAGTCTATTATCATCATGATGGGAAGCATGGCAACATACAGGCAAACAAACTGCTGGAAAAGGAGCTGAGAGTTCTATATCTTTATCCATAGACAGCAGAAGGGGACTGTGTGCCACACTGGGCTCAACTTAAGCATAGGAGATCTCAAAGCATGTCCTCACAATGACACACTTCTTTCAATAAGGCCATATCACCTAACAGTGCCACTCCCTATAAGGACCAACTATTCAAACACAGGAGTGTATGTAGGCCATACCTATTCAAACCACCACAAGTAGTTCGTGTTTATTCGGTATTCCATTGTATAGACACATCATATGTGTCATGCTTATCTACTTACGTCTTAAAAGGCATTGAGCATTTGCAGTTTTGAGCAATTACAAACAAAGCTGCTATAAATATTTGTATATAGGTCTTTTATAGATACAATTTCTGGTATGTTGGTTAGATACTTACTGTACTAGCTACTCCTGGTTGTCAACCTGACTATATCTGGAATGAACTACAATCCAGAATTGGAGGGCTCAGCTGTGATCTAGATCTTGAGGCTGGAAGACACAAGTTTCTGACCTGGATCTTGGCATGGAGATCTTGGCCTGGAGATCTTAAGGCATAGTAGCTAAGAAAAGCTTAGGCCAAGGTAAAGTAGTACACACCTTTAATCCCAGGAGACTAAGGCAGGGAGATCTCTGAGTTCAAGGTCATTCTACAGAGCAAAGTCCAAGCTGCTAGGATGATGGTCTTAAAGCCCACACCCACAGTGACACACCTACTCCTACAAGGCCACACCCTCTAATAGTGCCACTCCCTGGGCCAGCCATATACAAACCATCACAGATACCAAGGAGGAAATGCTGGGTCATATGATTAGGTTTTATCTAACTTTCTAAGAAACTACTGGTCTTTTCTAAGGTTGTACCATTCTATACCTGTAGTATATGACTATAGAGAACTCTAGCCTTGTCAACATGTAGTATTAAAACTCTTTAAAGTTTTATCCATGGTAGTCATGCAGTGGTGGCACATGCCTTTAATCCCAGCACTCAATAGGCAAAAGCAGAGGCTGAGGGATCTCTACACTCAAGGCCAGTCTGGTCTATAGAGTGAATTCCAGGACAGCCAGGTCTACACAGAGAAATAGTCTCAAAAAAAAAACAAACAAAAACCAATGAAAAATTATTCATAGTCAAAAGTAGTGCTTTATTAGGTTTTAATTTGTATTTCTTTAATTACTAGTTGTTAGACTTCGGCGCGCAGCTTAGAACAGACAACACCAGACCAAACGGTTCCAAAGGAGGAGGGGGTGTTATTCAGGGCAGAGGGCAAAGGTGGGGGGAGAGAAACAGAAGATGGCGGAGAAAGAGAAGTAGAGGCCGGCCATGACCACGTGGAGAGAGGGGGAAAGGAAGAGGGGAAGGGCAAGGGGACAGAGAGAAGCTAGAGGCAAGAGAGTAAAAGAGTAATCGAGAGAAGAGGAAGCAAGCAGCCCCTTTTATAGTGGGCAGGCCTACCTGGCTGTTGCCAAGTAACTGTGGGGCAGAGCATACCTGGGTGTTGCCAGATAACTGTGGAGGTGGAGTTTAGACAGAATACTAACACTAGTGATATTGAACATTTTGTCAAGTGTACTTAATTGCTCATTCTCTATCCCAGAATAGCATCAAGCTTGCAATTTTCCTGCCTCAGCTTCCCAAGTGCTAGGATTAAAGTCAAGCACTACCATGCAGTCTGTTTTCTTGAAACAGGATATCATGTAGCCCAAGCTGTCCTTGAATTTCTGAACTTCTTCCCAGTACCTCCCAAGTACTGAGATTACAAGCAAAGACTACGTATCTCATTGTTTTGTCTTTCTGTTTCAATTATTTAGTTACAGAGCCTTACATAGCCCAGACTGGCCTTGAACTTGGCTTCTGTTGTTTGTTTTTTTGGGGACAGGGTTTCTCTGTGTAGCCTTGGCTGTCCTGGACTCACTTTATAGACCAGGCTGGCCTCAAATTTACAGAGATCTGCCTGCCTCTCCCTCCCATGTGCTGGATTAAAGGTGTGTGCCAACGTGCCCAGTGACCTTGAACTTGTTATAGCCCAGACTGATTTTGAATTCCTGATGCCCCGGCTTGCACTTCCCAAGTACTTCATGTTTTGATTCAATAAGACTTCTAGTCTATTGATGGACCTTCATGTCAGCAGAGAAATGCATTAAAAGTTCAGGATACTTCAGTATTCACTAGCCACAGTGTTTCCTCTATAAATATGTACAGGTTCAGTCATATCAGGACTGTGTGGGTGGCTTTTTAAAGACTTTTTTATTTTAAATTTGTGTGGAGGGCATATGTTCACATGAGTGCTAGCGCCCAAGGAGAAAGTTGGATGCCCTGAAGTTGCATGTGGTTATTAGCTGTCTGTCATGAACGATGGGGGCTGCACTCTGCTCTCTGGGACAGCAGTACACTCTTTTAACCACTAAGCCATCTCTCCAGCTCCACAGGATCAATTAGTTTATGCTGCATATGTGCATGGCTTCTCATACCCACGATACCAAAGATATTATTAAACCTACTATGCCTGTAGCACCTCTCAGGATTCCCTGTTAAATCCCCAGTCCGGCAGTTCATGACTTACCTGAAAAAGATCCACATCTAAAGCTAAGAGCCACTGATCTGCTTGTTCCTGGCTTCCACAAGATACTCACTGTAACTAACCACACAAAATCAAGTGAACCACCCTGAAGGCAGCAATGGCCACTGCTAATCTTAGCCTTACCTTCTGTATTGAACTTCTTCACTAGAGCAGCTAGAGATGAGAGAGGTCATGGGAGAAGCCAAGTCAAGAATACCATATATCTGTGCTGTTTTTCCTTGCAATCCTATACATCATGGGGTATGTACTTTGCAATATGTCTCTAGTCTCTCAAAACTCACAAATAGTTGACTCTTGTTTTACATTTGCCTTTGGAAACTGCACTTGTCAATCTTCTCACTCCATCATATGGGACGTGAACGTTATGCTCTTTTCATTTTAATATGTGCTTTCATTTCAACCTTGACTTTCATTTTAGATGGGCCCATACGGATCTAATAAGTGTGGAAGTAATCTGAACTGTTCTGAGCAAAAGATAAATAGAAGATATTAAAGAAGCCAATTGTATTAGAGAATGAATAAGCATAAAGGTAGGAGGAAAACAAAGAGAAAATAATCACAAGGCGCAAGGAAAGAAATCATTCAGTGAGGAGGACCAACCAACCTGTGTGTAGTGGATAGTGAAGATGGCGTGTGATCTGCTGCTGGCCTCGTGAACATGGGTGGCTGCTGTGATCCTGTGTACACAAGGCAAGACAGTTAATGCAAGGACCATTTAAGCATGGTGGGACCTGAGGGACCCCGAAACCTAAAACATGTTAGAACTGTGGTCAGTGAAATAGGTTAGTGAGTGAAGGCACCTGCTGCCAGCCCTGACAACCTGAGTTCAATCCCCGGCACCCATGTGGCTGCTCACAACTATCCATAACTCCAGCTCCAGGGATCTGACATCTGCTTCTGGCCTCTGTGGGCACAACACACATGTGGTACACATACATTAAGGCAAGAAAACCATACATACAAAAATAAATTTTAAAAAAAGTAGTCCAGCCAGGTAGTGGTGGCACATGCCTTTAGTTCCAGCACTTGGGAGGCAGAGGCAGGCGGATTTCTGAGTTCGAGGTCAACCTGCTCTACAGAGTGAGTTCCAGGACAGCCAGGGCTACACAGAGAAAGCCTGTCTCAAAAAAAAAAAAAAAAAGTAGTCCAAAGAAGGCAGACGCAGTACTCTAGGTGCTGTTACCTGACGATAACAGGGAGAGAGTGGTTCCATGGTAGCTAGCACTAAAACAGTTTTGAAATTATAAAAGAAAAATTAAGAGTAAAATTAGTATAGAGAAACCCTGTCTTGAAAAACCAAAAAAAAAAAAAAGTAAAATTAGAATATTTGGGTGTTATCAACCTGGAACAATATCCCAAAGATAGGCTTATTTAAAGACAGTGACTTATATTGGTAATGGTGACAATTCACACCTAAAATCTCAGCACCTGAAAGAGGAATGCAGCAGGACAGAATCTGAGGCCAGCCTGCACAGACCCTGTATCATTCAGAAACAAGACTAAGGAGATGAGCCGGGCGGTGGTGGCGCACGCCTTTAATCCCAGCACTTGGGAGGCAGAGGCAGGCAGATCTCTGAGTTCGAAGTTCGAGGCTAGCCTGGTCTACAGAGTGAGTTCCAGGACAGCCAGGGCTACACAGAAAAACCCTGTCTCGAAAAAAAAAAAAAAAGACTAAGGAGATGGCTCAGTGGGTAAAGTGAGCTTGAATCCTCAGCATCAATGTAAAAGCTAGGCATGATGACACACGTCTGTAACCCCAATGCTGGGAGGTAGAGGCAGGAAGATCTCAGAGGGCTTGCTAAGCTGGTCTAGCCAATCAATGAGCTCCAAATTTAGTAAGAGACCCTGACTCAAAAGTAAGGTGGAAGACAACAGAGAAAGACATTTGACAATGTGTTTATATAAACACATATACAAATTAGTAAATAAATATTTAAAAAAAAACAACAACAGCATACACATAAAAAAAGACAAGTGTGGGTAGTAAGTATGCTGGAGAAACCTCACAGAAAGCTAAGCTATAGAGCAGAGAATTTATCTAACAGTGTCAGAAAGCCTTTTGACCTGGGACCTTGAATTACATGGAGGCCATGTTTACACGTAGAGCTCAGAGCAGATCTTAGAAATCCATCCCAGTGTTAATCCCTCCTTTACCTAAATCCAGGTCAATGAATCTTCTGCTTAAAACTATCTCAGACTATTTCACTGACTTCTCTAAGGAGCTAGAGGACAGAAAAGGCTAAAAATCTAGGAGGTGTTTCTATACCCTAAGGATGCAGAGAGTTAGATGAATTTATTTATTTATTGTATTCACTTCGTTTGCTCGTTTGTTTCTTTGTTGGCATTTAGGATTAAACCTAGGGCTCATGCTAGGCAATCGTGCTATCACTGAGTCGAATTCCAGTTCCTATTCCCTCACATAGCCCAGGTTGGCATCAGGTATGTAGCTAAGCTGGGCTTTGAGCTTCTGTACTTACTCCTATCTCTGAGTGTTGGGATTGTAGCTGTGCATCATCACATCTAGTTCCCACAGTGCTGGGCTCATACTGAACAATACAGCAGCTCCTCACACTTCTTTTTATTTATTTTTTCAAAAAATTTTTGCTTATTATTGTGCATACATGAATGTCTGTGTGTATGTTTATTATTGTGCATGCATGAATGTCTGTATGTATGTGTACCACATATATACTTGGTGCCTGAAAAGGTCAAAAGAGGCTTCATATGCCCTGCAGGTTGGGAGTTACAGACTGCTGTGAGCCTTCACTGGATCCCCAAACATACTATGCAGCCTAGGCAGGTCTCAAACTGATTCACTCTGCCTCAGCCACTCCTACTGCGGGCATTACAAGCAGGCAACCTCATGCCCACCTGCCTCTTTTTTTTTTTTTTTTTTTTTTGGTTTTTCAAGACAGGTTTTTCTGCATACCCCTGGCTGTCCTGGAATGCCCACCTGCCTCTTAACTCTTGTTTTTGTTGTTATTTTGTTTTTGTTTTTTTTTGAGACATGGACTCCTCCTCCTTCTTCATGGACTCTTTTTTTCTTACTCTTCCTCCTCCTCTTCCTCTTCCTCCTCCTCCTCTTCTTCTTCCTTTTCCTCCTCTTCCTCCTCCTCCTCCTTCTTTTTCTTTCCTGGAGCTGAGGACCAAACCCAAGTGCTCTACCACTGACCTAAGCCCCCAATCTCCAAGGTGTCTCTGTGTAGCTTTGGCTGTCCAGGAAATTCCTACGAGACCAAGCTGACCCCGAATTCACAAAGGTCCACCTGGAATGTACAACCACACCCGCTTGAATCATAATTCTTAATGATTCAAAAGCTCAGCTTATCCTGAATACCAGGTAAAAGTTCTTCTGAGAAGGTTCCATGAAATTCTGGGACTAGAATGTTAAATTTAAGTTTTTCCCTTTGTTTTTCAGTTAAAGGGTCTAGTATTAATAGGATAAATATAAGACTATAAACATGTCCTCAAGGGGAAACAGCTTTCCCCTAGGCATTTATTAGTAATGTTTTAAGTCTTCACATTAATTGAAAACATGAAATTGTTATCACACTGCATAGCAGCTTGAGGGGCACGTAAGTTACTCTCTTAAGACGTATTTATTTTATTTATATGAGTACACTGTTGCTGCCTTCAGACACACCAGAAGAGGGCATCAGATCCCATTACACATGGTTGTGAGCCACCATGTGGTTGCTGGGAATTGAACTCAGGACCTTTGGAAGAGCAGTCAGTGCTCTTAACTGCTGAGCCATCGCTCCAGCCACCAAGTTACTCTCTTAGTTTCATTTGCCTATAGCCTCACAAGAATAGAAAACTACATGAAAAAAATGGTTTTATGAATCATCTTATCCTATATTCATCTTTGCCAAGCTGAGAAGACATTACTACCCAATATTATCATGTCCAGAACAAACTCTATTTCCTTTGTAGTGCGAAGTACAGTAACTTAGTCATGTTCTTGATCTGAGAAGACCTGGCTGTACACTGCAGAGAAGTGCAGAGAGATCGTTGCAAAGGTGGCGCCCACACTCTCCTTTGGCCATGCTCTCCAAAGGACAGGGGAACACAGGATGGCAAAAGCAGGCTGCAGAAATACCCCCACCCAACAAACATTTTACCTGTTTGCTATCCCCTCCTCCAGGAGCTGGATAACTTGCTGATAGTTGGTAACAACATGCTGAGACAGACCTTGTGAAGGGAGAAAAGAAATCACATGAAATTTCTGGTAAACTAACTTTTCCTGTAGGCTTCTATCATTCTTCTTACTATACTTACCTATTATCTCCTATATGAGTTTAAATGCAGGCCTACCATATTGCTCATGTGCAGTCAGAGGGCAATTTACAGGCGTCACTTTTTCCCTCCACTAGGAAGGATCTAGGAATTGAACTCAGGTCATCAGGTTTGATGGAAAAAAACCTCTAGACCCAATGAGCCATCTTGCCAGCTCTAGTTATTTTTTTTTAATTTTTAAATTTACTTATTATTCTTATACTTACAAATTTACTTATATTCTTACTTGATAAGCTAGACTGAGGAACTCTGACTAATAAGATAAAAAATTAATAAATATGTATTGAAACCTCATCAGGTAGCCAGTGTATTTCCACAAAGATTATGATTTATAACTCATGTAGTGGCCATGCTTAGAACAACAACAAAAAAATTCCTTACAGCTTTACTACAGATGTTATAAGAAATCTCCTCCTCCTCATATATTATTGCTGGATCTCACAAAATTCCTGATAGGAAAGTGACATTTTCCCCACAAGGTGGCAGACTTAGTGTAGCATACAAAATACATAGTAAATATGTTTCTCTTCTTTCAAGGTTACAACATAAAACTGCACTATATGACACATCATAGACAAATGCTACAGAAATAGGGGACAAACATGCTGAGCAAATCAGAGCAGAGGCAAGCGGGGTGAGGGTAGGGGCTCTGTGGGCAAAGCAAGGATAGGACAAGCGATCACAGAATGTGAAGGCTTCCGATATGAGCCTAAAGACACAAAGAAAATCTTTACGGCAAAGCCACCTACAGCATTTACCAGTGCTAGAGAACCTCTGCTGAGTATCAGAGCCTCAGGGACAGACAGTGCCATAGATCTACTGCTAGATAAATGTATAGCAAAAGCTGACAAAGTAACTTGTATAGTGACTAGACTGCAGGTGAGTGGCTGCAATCAATTTTCTAAGCAATTTTTCAGGAATCAAGGGACAGGGTTATAGCCTGTCCATACCATACCCAAATTGCCCAGCCCCTCAATTTTTTGTTTGTCTTATTTTTTGAAACAGGGTCTCAATTCTAGCTGAGGATGCCATTGGACTCAAAAACATCCTCTTGTCCCTGCCTCTTGAGTGCAGAGATTGCATATAACACCTGCTTGGGCATTAGTTCTTATAGAAAGAAGCCCAAAGGAATCAAAACAAGAATCAGTTGAGTTAGAAGTAAATAAACCTTTCCAAAGTCTGCAGCTAAGCTTCTCACACCTCTACTGGATCCTAACTTACTTCTTCTTTTTTTTTTTTTTCCCCAAGACAAGGTTTCTCTGTGTAGCCCTGGCTGTCTTGGAACTCACTCTGTATACCAGGCTGGCCTCGAACTCAGAAATCCACCTGCCTCTGCCTCCCAAGTGCTGGGATTAAAGGCGTGCACCACCACTGCCCGACAGGAAGACCAATTTCTAAGAACAGCTTTACAAATATACTGTCTCCCACAAACCTTACCAGCAAACCAAACATACATGTAAGCCTGGGAATATAAATGAAATATACCCAAGAAAGATGAAGAAACTAAAATTACGAGGCAGATCTAAAGCAACCCTGGCTGGTATTTTCAAGGACTTAACAGACAAGACAGCAAAATTCCAGAGGATACTGGGAAGAGTCAAGTGGAGGTGTGCTGAGGTCTCCTGGCTGTGTCTGAAGAGGAAGGAGGGCAGAGAGAAACAGAAAGAAAAGAAGAGAGAGTGGCAGGGAACACTTTGAAATGTGGAGTCTGGTCACTGACGTATTTGATAGTACTGTTTTACATAGAAAAGGAAATTAAAAGGGACATTTTCATTACCAACACCAGGCTGCGGGGGGGGGGGGGGGGGGGAAGAAAGAAACACTTGGTAGCAGGATCAATGAATGCCACTGACCAGCCATGCCTGTTCAGAAGAGCTCTCATGTGTCTCTCCTTATCAGGATTTAAGTTAGCATACGGCTGTGAGGAATGTAACACAGCTTATCAGTTACAGGCCCCCAGACCTTAGAATAACTGACACCATGTTAGAGGCACAGAGGCACCGCTCTAACCTAAGAGTCTAGCATGGAGACCTTAACACCGGCCAAAAGGAGAACAAGGCCTAATCCATCCAAGTCCAGAGCTCCAGGAAAGTCACTAAACATCCTATTCTCCTGTTTTGGCTTCTGGAGTTCCTCTTCTGGCTGACTATTCTTGCTGAGGTGCCAAGATGTAGGTTTTTCTTTTTCTCTCTGTGCTTAAAAGCCCACCCTGACAGCTGGAGAGATGGTTCAGTGATTCAGAGTACTGGCTGCTCATCCAGAGATCCTGAGTTAAATTCCAAGTAACAACATGGCAGCTCACATACATGCAGACAGAGCACTACATACATAATAATTAAATCTTTTGTTAAAAAAGGACCACCTTGAGAAAGTTCAGGACTGTACTTGGGTTCTGAACACCTAGTACAGTTGCTCGCTGGCTAATAAAGACTTTCTATTGGCTTGAACCTGTGTCCAAGTAGTTTTATCTAGTGGCTACACCCCACAATAAAAGGATACAACTTTACTCCTTAAAAGAGCACAATTGTCCCTCCTAAATTGCTAAACCAAGGCTAATAAAGTAAATGAGAGATGATACCCAGGCCCAGTGTCAGTGCTTGACTCTACTCATCTTCCCAGGACTGGGGCCTGTGACCCTTTCTTTTTTTTTTTCTTTTTTCTTTTTTTTTTCAAGACAGGGTTTCTCTGTGTAGCCCTGGCTGTCCTGGAACTCACTCTGTAGACCAGGCTAGCCTTGAACTCTCAAACTCAGAAATCTGCCTGCCTCTGCCTCCCAAGTGCTGGGATTAAAGGTGTACGCCACCACTGCCTGGCCTTTTTGGTTTTTCAATACACGATTTCTCTGTGTAGCCCTGGCTGTACTGGAACTCACCCTGTAGACTGGCTGACCTCGAACCTACAGAAATACATCTGCTGGAATTACAGGGGTCTTTCTTCCTCTTTCTCTTCCTCTTCTTCCTCCTCCTTCTCTTTTTGGTGTTCTGAGACAGGGTTTCTGTAATTCTCGCTGTCTCGGCTGTCCTGGAACTTGCTCTGTAGAGCAGATTGGCTTCAAACTCTGAGATTCACCTGCCTCTGTCTCCCAAGTGCTGGGACTAAAGGTGAGCACCATCACCACCTGGCTCAGAAGTCTTTTCAATCACTGAATCTAGCGACTTTATAAATCTTTATCACAATGTGTAATTGTCTGCTTATGACACTTTCACCAGAATTTCAGCTTGCCTGTGAAGGCAGGGCCATGTCATATCAGCTTAGTAGCATACATCCATTGTCCAGCACAGTAGCCAGCACACAGAAAACCATCATTACACATGCTGAGAAAGTTATCAAACTTTAGGAGAACTTCCTACACCTCAGGTGGTTCTCCAATTCCCAAGATCACAGAAGCTCACCTTGGACATAGGGCCCCATCTCCGGGTGCTCCCTGACCCTTAAAGTGTAAGACTTATTTTGATTGGATTGCTTCAAAAGATCTCTCACTCGTTCATTGTAGATTTCTAGGAAGCTAAAGACACAGAAAAAGGCAAGGCAATTAGATTCTGAAGAAAAAGGAAAAACACTAAATTGAAAACCAAAAGGTTCTGGCTTCCTGTTCTGGCTCTGATAACCTTAAGACTTCAACCAAGCCAGGGCTCCCACTTAAGAGTCTTTCTCCATGTGCACAGCAAGATTCTGACCACTGGCTACCATTGCATCCCAGTTTATAACATCAGTGCCAATTGAAGATTAGCTCTCGATGAATGACTTTTAAATGTGATCCTTCTTTTGTTCCGGTTTCTGTTTGTCCTATAATATTTATATGGGGGGGGTGCACATGTGAGTGCTGGCGCCCTCAGAGGCCAAAATGAGTCAGATCCCCTGGACTAGATTTATAGGCAGTTATGAACCATCAGACATGAATGCCGGAAATAAAACAAGTCCTCTCCAAAAGTAGTATATGTACTTGTGGTAATTTGAATGAGAAATGCCACCCAGAGTCTTAGGCATCTAAATGCTTGGTCCCTAGATCACCAACCAGGCACTATTTGGGGGAGGTATGGGTGGTTGTAGAGCTTTGAATGAGGATGGTTCCCATACACCATAGACTCATAAACTTGAATGCTTCCTCTCAAGGACCACTACTAAGCCAACAGAGGAAATCAAATGGGACGGTCCCATCCCTGGCCTGTTATACGCTGACAACTCCAATCTGTTTTACACATCAAGACTGTGAGCAAGATATTATACTTTCTAGAGATCTATTTCATTCTTAACTTAACCAATAATGATTACATATACAGGCGTGGAAGAGAGGAGGTGAGAAAGGAAGGAGAATACAAGGTTTAAAAAAAAACTAGTAAAGCCAGGCAGTGGTGGTGCATACCTTGAATCCCAGCACACAAGAGGCAGAGGTATGCTGATCTCTTTGAGTATGAGGCTAGCCTGGTCTACAGCCAGTTATAGGACAGTCAGGGCTATGCAGAGAAATCCTGTCTCAGAAAAGAAAGGAAGGAAGAAAGGAAGTAAGGGAGGAAGGAAAGAAGGAAGGGGAAAAAAGAAAATAGGGTTGGAGAGATGGCTCAGCGGTTAAGAGCACTGATTGGTCTTCCAGAGGTCCTGAGTTCAATTCCCAGCAACCACATGGTGGCTCACAACCAACAGTAATGGGATCTGATACCCTCTTTTGGTGTGTCTGAAGACAGCTACAGTGTACTCATACAAATAAAATTATTAAAAACAAAAAAAGGGAGAGGGTGTGGAGAAAAGAAAACCTAGTAATCACGTATCAATATTTTTTTCTCACTGCAGCTTGGTTAAAACATTATTTTGACAGGCCATGGAGGATCATGCTTACAACCCCACACTCGGGAGGGTAAAACAGCAGGATAAAGAGTCTGAGGCCAGCCTAGGTTCCATAGCATGATGCTGTCCAACAAAACAAAAATCTTGGATCTAGTACTAGTCTGGGAAGTCGGTCTAAAATCTACAGAATGAGCCAACAAGGGTTAGGAGGGGAAATCCCAAAAGCAAGAATGAGACTACAGGAAGTGAGGGGAACAGAGGCGCTAGAGGAACCTGATGGGCTAGTTCAGGGGAGGGAATTACAGTTTCTGCAACCCAAAGGCTTAAGTACGTTTTCCACATCCTGTACTACACGATGTGTCCTCTGTGGATTCTGTCCATCCCTCTAATGACTCTGTGAAAGGAGCGGGATGTGTGAAATCTAGAGTGGAAATGAGCTCTTACCTTACTTTTATGCTACGGGAATAAGGCAGCGAGGCACAGTCATCCTCCCTGATGAAGAGACCCTGCACAAACAGAGGGTTAGATTTACTGGAGGGGCTGACATAGAAAACTCATTGTGGGAGAGCATGACAAAAGAGAATCCGTACCTTACATATCCTCGGAGTCAGCCCAACAGAGGCCTGGTGACAAAAAAAGAAAAAGAAAAAAAAAAAAAAAAAGGAAAACATTACTCCTTACTTGGGGCACATGCCCTCCTCTTACCACAAAACACCCGGAAACCTGGAGTCCCTGAGCACACAGGGTGTGAGCTTGTGTGTGTTAGCTAGCCTCTATAGAAGTATATAGAAGATGGAGACACTAACAAAAGGAACATACAGATGAGAGGCAGATTTTCACCATAAGACAGATAGGAGAAGCAGGCAAGCCTAGACATGTGCTTTCCTTTTTTTTTTTTTTTTTTGGTTTTTCGAGACAGGGTTTCTCTGTGTAGTCCTGGCTGTCCTGGAACTCACTCTGTAGACCAGGCTGGCCTCGAACTCAGAAATCCGCCTGCCTCTGCCTCCCAAGTGCTGGGATTAAAGGTGTGCGCCACCACTGCCCGACTGACATGCGCTTTCCTGCAGTGAACTTTATCGTGCTTGGGTAAGTTCACACTACTCATGTGGTCTCTTCTAGATCCCTACTGCTATCCCTAGACACAGGACACATGAATGAACACCCTCTGCAAAACTGTGCAGAAATTCAAAGAAGCTGCTATTTCCTCTACCTCATATTCAAAGGTTTATGGTTTTATTCCTCTTGGTTCAATGGGCAATTTCTTCTTTTAATTTCAAATATCTGAAACCACACCAGTCATGAACAAAGGAAACAAAGAGCTGGGTCCAGAGGGGTGAATATTTCAGACTGTCCCTATATAAGGTTATCTGTCAACCACTGCCCAGGTCACCTCATTAGCATGCTTCTAAATCTAAAACAAAGGATAGTCTTTTGTTTGTTTGCTTTGTTTTTCTTTTTTGTTTTTTTTTGTTTTGTTTGTTTGTTTGTTTTTGTTTTTTTTTTTTTTTTGTTTTTCAAGACAGGATTTCTCTGTGTAACAGAGTCCTGACTATCCTGGACTTGTTTTTTAGACTAAACTGGCCTCAAACTCACAGAGATCTTCCTGCCTCTGCTGGAACTAAAGGTGTGTACCACCACATCTAGCATCAGAAAAGGTATTATTAAAGAATGCTGTCCTTTTAACTTTAATTTGTTGCTGTTGTTTGTTTTGAGTTTGTTGCTGTTTGTCTCAGTGTGCATCCCTGGCTGGCTGGGAACTCAAGAGATTTATCTGCCTCTCTTCTCAAACACTGGGATTAAAGGTGTGCACTACCACACCTAGAATTATTCCCTCAATTCTCTGTGATTAAAAACAACTTGCATTACACTCTGCGTAGTTTTAAATGCTTCCAGTGTTTCTCTTGTTTTCTTTTAACACACACAGCTTTTAAACTTGGACACAGCAGTCTCATCTTTGTATAGCACTAGGAGTTAGCCCAAATTAATCCCCAACGAAAGTACTGAGCTTCAAGTGAAGGACCTGGAAGTGATATGTGTCTCCAGTAGGACCAATAAGACTCTTTGTCAAAGGGAACCATGAAATTCTGGTTTTTCAAGGTTTCACAAAAAGAAACTAACTATACAAAGTTTACCACGCAGTTAAAGTGGTGAAGTCCTGCCAGGCGGTGGTGGCGCACGCCTTTAATCCCAGCACTTGGGAGGCAGAGGCAGGCAGATTTCTGAGTTCAAGAGTTCAAGGCTAGCCTGGTCTACAGAGTGAGTTCCAGGACAGCCAGGGCTACACAGAGAAACCCTGTCTTGAAAAAAATAAAAACAAAAACAAAAACCAAAAAACAAAACAAAAACAAACAAACAAAAAAACAAAACAAAAAGTGGTGAAGTCCCATTGTTAACAGGAAGAGGGCCATCAATCTCATCAACGCCTCCTATGGAGGCTACACTCTATATCACAGTGGTGAGGACAATGTAAGACTCAGATTTTCTGTGGCATTAGAGGATAGTTCACCTCAGTGCTAATACTCACTGGAGTCCCCAGCATGGTGTATGTCTTCCCAGAGCCTGTCTGCCCGTATGCAAAGAGACATATGTTGTAGCCTTTGGCAGCTTCAGACAGTACTTCAGTCCCTAAGTCCCGGAACACCTGTAACAACAAAAGCAGACAGCTTGTCATTGGTCTGTCTTCCCAGAGCACATTTAGAAATATTTTAAATCTAAAAAATATAACGTATTGAATCTAAACGCAATCCTTTCATAAGACTCAATTCAACTTCAGGAAAAAGAGTATAAGGAAAAATTCAGTAAGTCAATTGCTCAAATATTTTTAAGTACCTATATCAGCCTATATTTTTTGATTGATTGATTGATGTATGTGAGTACACCATTGCTTTCTTCAGACAGACCAGAAGATCCCATTACAGATGGTTATGAACCACCAAGTGGTTGCTGGGAATTGAACTCAGGACCTCTGGAAGGACAGTCAGTGCTCTTAACTGCTGAGCCATCTCTCCAGCCCTAGCCTAGATTTTTTAAAGTACATATTTCCTAGTCCTTTTAAAAAGATTTATTTTATTTTAATTATCTCTGTGTATGTGCATGTATCTCTGTGTACCTGCTGATACCAAAAGAGGGCGTTAGATCCCGTGGGATTGAAGTTACAGACAGTTGTGAGCTATCTGTGTACTAGGAACTGAACTGGGTCCTCTGAAAGAGCAGTGAGTATTCTTAAGGGACTGAGCTGTATCTCAGCCCCAGTGTTCCACAGTCTAACAAAAAGAATCTAAGGCAGGACAAAGATAAAAAGCAAGAACATACTTTTCCTCATACACAGGGAAATACTACGGCTAATGGAATGGTGACAGTGAAACACTGCCCAAAAAAGGTAAATTCAAGGTCTGAAGACCCCACAGGATCAGTTTTGCTCGCAAATTAGGGAAAGTTGTCCCCGAGGATCCGTTTTCTGACTGCCCCTGAGAGTTGGCAGGTTCTGCTAGACAAGCACTTCAGTTGAGGTCAGGTTTTATGACAAATTCAGAAACCTCCAGAAGTCCTCATGTGGTAACTGGACTTTAAGTTCCTAGGTTTCCCAAAGCTTCAACTGAACTCTGCTAGGCAGCACCCGAACATTTTCAGCCACTGGTGTTGATCTTGGTGAAAAGCAGAACCCAGTTCTTCTAACTCAATGTCCTCTTCACTTGCTGGTGCTAGTACAATGACACCAGAGAAGAGGCTACCAACCGGAGAGACTTACTTCCCAAAGAAAGACAAAAGCAGGCAGCAGTTGACAAACGCCCCCAGAGGAACAAACATGCAGCAGAAGTGTGGCAGGTGGCGCTGCTGCCTGTTCTGTGCTGTGATTCCTGATGCCTAGGGGGTGTCAATGTGTTCCTGATCTTTTGGTTTTTTTTAACTTCCCTTTCAATTCTGACTCATCTGCTATGGTTCCAAATTGTAGTGTGGGTGGTTATACTTCAAAGCAGGGTGATCCTGGGCAAGTTTTGTAAGCTTCAGTTTCTCTAGCTGTAAGATGGATATTTGCATTGGTATCACACAGACTGCTGTAGAGACTGATGTCACACATGAAACTAGGGGCAACCAGAAAAAGTCAGGAGCTAAGTAAGGACTGCATGGCTCCGTATTTTAGCAGCTGCACTTATGCTTCTTGGGAGACAACTGTTTTGTTTTTGTTTGCTTTTGTGCAGTAAAAGACTTGAGCTCCCATGATCTCTCTCTAGTCACACTAACTCCATGTTAGCAAAGATAAAGATTGGGTGAGGTCTTGTTTGCCTCCTAAAGTCAGAGCAGGTAACATTCTTGAGCCTGAAGAAGTAGTCTATTTGGCTGCATTATCCTAGATGAGTTAACTACTACCCACTAATTATTTGGAAAATCTTCCACAGAACTCCAACTTCCTAGGGCAGGAGCTAGGAAAACAGGTGGAGATAGCAAAAAAACATATCTAAATATAATTTTTTTCTGCCCACAGTTTATGATCAGCTGAGCAGAGTAAAAAGACAGTGAAAAAAAAAACACAAAAAACCAAACAAAAATGTTATTTTGTCCATATTTTCCCATTCATTAATTTATTTATTCACTTTACATCCTCATCGAAGGCCTTACTCACTTCCTGGTCCCTCCTTCACCCAGCCCCTACCCCATTACCCTCCCCTCTGAGAAAGGGTAGCCCCTCCCCTTGGGTATCACCCCACCTTGGCACACCAAGTCACTGCAGGACTAGGAGAATCCTCTCCTACTGAGGCCAGAAAAGGTGTCCCAGTTAGGGGAACTGGATCCACAGGCAGACAGCAGAGTCTAGGACAGCCCCTGCTCCAGTTGTTGGGAGACCCGCATGAAGACTAAGCTGCACATCTGCTACATATGTGCAGTGGGCCTAGGTCCTCTCTGTCTATGTCTTTATCCAAATGCAAACAACTGCCTAAATGTTTTCTGAACATATCTTTAAAGAAAGCACTTTGCCTAATGATAAAAGTTGTCAACAGGCTTCTGGGCTCCAGTCAAGAATGATGGACTTAGCCCATCCGATCCTGGAAAATCCACAAACTTAGAAAGAGAAAAATAGGCAAAGAATGTGTGTTCTACTGCACCCAGGTTAACACAATGAAGCAGATGTAAACAGCTCACTACGACAACCTAAAGGTTAACATAAGTCACTGAACTACAGTGTACTGCAGACTCCTATTCAGGAGAGATAAACAACTTCATCCATCCATCCATCCATCTATCTATCTATCTATCTATCTATCTATCTATCTATCTATCTATCTATCTATCTATCTATCTATCTATCATTAAGAGTTCAAGTAGTAGAAAGTATATAATCCAGACTAACCATAGCCTTTTGTTTTGTTTGTTTGTTTGATTGTTTGGTTGGTTGGTTTTTTGGTTTCTCTGTGCAGCTATCCTAGAACTAGCTTTGTAGACCAGGCTGGCCTCAAACTCAGAGAGATTTACCTGCCTCTTGCCTCCTGACTGTTGAGATTAAATGGGTACACACCATACTTGGGTAAGACATGCCTATATGCCTTTCTCAAATTCAGCTAGAATCAGCAACACTGTTAACAATTTCATGACAACCACTCAAGAGCCAAACATAAGGGATGGCCTATCTATTACTAAAGGAACTTGCCATTGATAGGTTTCTTTGGTCTGGATAGATTTTTGTTCTGTTAGATATTATGTTATCTATCCCAAGTTGACTCATACCAAAAGTAACTTTAAAAAACTCATGTGATTCCTGTCTGGCTAGTTTTATGTCAGGTTAACATAAACTGGAGTCATCTGGAAAGGGGAACTCTCAACTGAAAACAGTGCCTCTATCAGAGTCGCCTGTAGGCGACCTTCAGTCCAGTGTGCACCTTTAATCCCAGCACTCAGGAGGCAGAGGCCTGCAGATCTCTGTGAGTTGAGGACAGCCAAGGCTGTTACACAGAAAACTCCATCTTAAAAACAAACAAAGAGTTGCCTGTAGACGGGTCTATAGTGCATTTTCTCAATTCCTGATTGATGGGGTAGGGCCCAGCCCACTGTGGGTGGTGCCATACTGAGCTGGTGGTCCTGGTTTCTGTAAAAAAGCAGACTCAGAAAGCCATGAGGGGCAAGCCAATAAGAAGCCAGCACTCCTTCAAGACTTCTGCCTCCAGATTCCTGCCCTGCCTGACTTGCCTCAGTGATGAACTATTACCTGGAAGTATAAGATAAAATAAATCCTTTCCTCCTCAGGTTGACTTTTGTCAATAGTGTCTATCAAAGCAATAGAAACTGAGACAATTCCAATATAGAATGAGAAAGTATTCAAACTAAGTATCAAATATTAACTTCAAATGTTGCTACCAGAAACATTCTAGTGAAGAACTAAGAGGGATGCTTCAAGTCTGAAAAGACTTGGGTTTTGATGGGATTCTTTTTTTCTTTAAAAATTAACTCTATTTGGTACCAAGAACCTTTAATTCAGAAACTGATCTAAACAATTGCTGGCACTTACTCAATCATATGATTTCAATTACACCATTAGTCACTTAGAGAAACCTTAACAGGGGTACTTACCCGCCCATCGCAGAGATGGTGTGGTGAGGATGACTGGACATATGTACACACTGACCCACCATGAAACTTCACTGTGCTATAAAAAGCAGAGTTGGGAGTCTCTTATTTGAAGAGAGAATATTCTTGTAAGACCTGTAACTCAGTGGGGCTTTAGTTGGGAAAAGAACAACCTAACTCTTCCTCTAAAGAGATACACTGAAAGTTTAATAGGAAAAAACACAGACTTTGAGATTTCTGTGTTAAAAGCTGGCTCTCTGGCCAAATAACTTAAACTCAGTTTCCTTATCTGTGAAATGAATAATGCTCCCAATTCAGGCGCTCAGTGGTACAGTGCCTTGCCTATCAAACTCCAGAACCATAAAAATTACAATCATGCCTAACACAGGGTTAATAGACATCATTTCAGCCCTGGCCCAAGTACAGATCAAATATTGTCTCTGTTCCTCTGGAGCAGATTTCCCCACAGGAAAGAAGCATCAGCCTCTATCTGACTTTGGCAGATGAATACAGATTTCCTGTTTGTCTGGCGCTGAGATCAGGCAATGTCCTATGCTAAGTTACTCCATACTGTACAAAACAGTGGATTTACACTGCCCTAAGAGACTCTACAAGTAGCTTTTGACTCTGTTTTGAGGATGAAGAATAACAGCCATTGGATGGACCCAGAAACTGTACCTCAGTCAGCACCACTAATCCAGCATGAACTGATGAATGACATCCCTAGGAATATATGGGGAGCCATTCAGTACAGTTACTGGGGAGAACTGAAACTGTGAGAGCACATGGGTGTTTTACAATCATATAAGGGAACTGGGAATGGTGGACACACTTTAATCCAGCCCCCGAGAAGCAGAGGCAGGTGATGTCTGAGTTCAAGGGCAGCCTGGTCTACAGAGTGAGTTCCAGGATAGCCAGGAATACACAGAGAAACCCTATCTTAAAGGAGCAGGGCTGAATCCAAGAATTTACTAGACACACAAGACCAAGGAAAGAGTAGGATTCTCTTGTACCCCATGAAGTGACAGATATCTAACATTATGATGGCATGGGTCCATACCAACCTATCTTCTGATACCTGGT